GTTACAACAACACTGTACATAGCTCTACTGGAATGTCCCCTTTCAAGGCGGTCTTTGGTTATGATAGCCCCCCTCTCCCCTTTTTGAGGGAGAATGCTACTTGTAAGGGGGGGGATGCTGGTTCGTGGTGTAAATCGTTGCAAGATGCCTGGCCTTTATTGTGTCAAACCCTGGATGCTGCTAAAGCAGCATATAAGGCCCAAGCTGATAAGGGAAGGGTGGTGGGATTGGATTTGAAACCTGGTGATCTGGTGTATGTTTCTACTAAAAACATCAAGATGTTAAGACCAAGTAAAAAACTGGGTTGGAAGTTTATTGGGCCTTTCAAAGTGCGTAAAATCATCAATAATGTTGCTGTCGATGTTGCACTGCCTAAGAATCTGAGGGCTTTACATTCTGTTTTTCACATGAGTTTGTTGAAAAAAGATCCTGGTACCTCTCCATGGAGACCCTCGGTTACTCCCCCTCCGCCTGTGCTACTTGAGGGGGATGAACATTTCGAGATTGCAGATATCCTCGACTCCAGACTGAAACGTGGTAAACTCTGGTACCTCATTGAGTGGGTGGACTTCGGACCCCAGCACCGCGAATGGGTGGAAGAAGGGGATATTCGGGCCCCTTATGTGATTCGTAAGTTCCACAAGACGTTCCCGGACAAACCGGGAGGTCTCCCGCCCGATCTGGGAGATATCCCGCCCTGCCCGGGAGATGGAGGGTAAGATGTATTTTGGAGGGGGCAGTATGTCAGCAAGCTGCCATGGTGTTCTGTGTTACTTGTATGGTTGTATAGTTTCTTCCTCCCCCCCTTTGCCTGCTAGCCTGTATTTTATCCTGCTGTAATGCCTAAGCCAAACAACTGGAGGACTTGGTGTAGGAGTGAGCTTGAATACCAGCTTGTTGCTTTTAGATCCTGGGAACTGCACCTGTATTATGTCTGGAGATAGCAGTGTTCCCAGGCAGTGAGCGCGCAACCGTTTCCTTTCACCCGCCAGCGGGAAAGTGACCCATTGGTTATGTGCCTGGTTCAAATCCCTTTATTATGCTTGCCCTAGTCGTTTGTACCCATTCCTAACAAAGAACTTGTTTGAGTGTCTTTCCAAGGCTTTGAAATAAATCTTGCTTTTCTGAAACGTGGATTTATTCTCGATGCTTGGGGATCCAACAATAGCCACTGATGGACCTCTGCTCCATATGCTTATCTAATTCCCTTTTGAAGCCGTCCATGCTTGTAGCCGCCACCACCTCCTGTGGCAGTGAATTCCAAGTGTTAATCACTCTTTAATCTTTTGTGTTAATCTTTTTCGCATAGCCCAAGATCTCCCCAGAAATGTATCCCCCGTCCAGTATTTGACTGCCCTCTGGTGGGCACGATGGAAATAAACACACCGGGTCACATTCGGTTATTTTTTCTTCTTCTCCATCAGGTTTTAAAAAATAAATACAGACTCTCCCGTTATCGATCCCAAGAGCAGGGGAAACAGACCTTGCTCTCCAGAACCATAAATTACGTCACCAACCAGGACGGAGTACAAAAGACCAGCAACCAGCCCCTGGCAAAGAAAAAACAATCAAAAAGACCCCCCCCCCCCCGAAATGTCACGAAGGAGAGCAACTTTACATTATGTACAGGCTAGTGGGGGGCAGTGTTCCCTCTAAGCTAAGTGAGTGTGAGCTAGCTCACAGTTTTTTAGCCTCTGGCTCACACATTTTTTGCCTTAGCTCAGGAAGGAGGGCTCCAGAGCAAATTAATTTATACAGTAGCCAAATCGCTCGCTCACAACTTTAATGCCAGGAGCTCACAAAGTAGATTTTTTGCTCACAAGACTCCACAGCTTAGAGGGAACATTGGTGGGGGGAGGCGGGCCAGGCAAGCAAAAGGCACAGCCGCGCACTCGCCTCAAAAGAGGTGGCGCTGACCATTTCAGGTGGAACGGGGGCGGCCTCGTACGCTTATCTTATCTTTACATTGCGTGTGTGTAAACCGCTGGGCCGGGCAGTGTCCTGGATCCGACCCCTTCGAGGGCCTCATTGCTCTTCACCAAAGGGGGCTACGTGCGCCCCACTAGCAATAATACACGGCGTTGGTCCGCAGTCCCCAAGAGCCCTCCCCCCCCGGCCGATTCCAAACGTTCATCTTCCCGAGGCCACCTCCTTCTCTCCTGGAGACAGATGCAGATGTTGTACACTCGCCAGGCTTGTCCCTCTGGGTGGCACCAGAAGGCACTTCTCCTTGTCCTTAACGAGCCCAGCAAGACGCGGGCGGCTTTGGGAAAGCCCTGCCCAGCGTCAGCTGCAAAGGGTTCTGGCTTCTGTCTCCCTCCGGCGCCTTGGCGGTGCCACGCCGGCTTCCTGCCTCTGGGCGGCCAGCTAACGCCTCCAGGAGTTCTTGGCCTCTTCTTGGAGCATCTCTGGAGCTTCTTCGGGAAGGTCTTCCGGCACTGCAGGACAGAGGAGGGGAAAGGAAGAGGTCAGCGCAACTGCAGAATCACTCTGTGCCTCTTGATTTACGGGTGGGAGGGGCTTGGAAGAGATCTGCATTCAGATCTTCCCATTCTTTTTTGAAAGGATCGGGGCCGGCCTCTGGTTCCCCCAATGACAACCGATTCCCCCTCCCATATTTTTATTGGGCATTTATTGATTTAATTCATTTATCCCCTCTTTCTCCCCAGTGGGAAACCCAAGGCGGGAAGGAGAATGCTGGCCTATTCTCCCTTCCGAAGGCAGTGGTGAATGTCAGAACCAAAAAAGAGCCCTGCTGGATCAGACCGGGGTCCCTCTAGTCCGGCATCCTGTCTCACACAGTGGCCAACCAGTCCCTCTGCAGGGCCAACCAAAGGGCAGGATCGTTACCTTGGCACTTGGAGCAGCAGGCGTTCTCTGTCCTCCCTTCTCTGGAGCAAGAGGCCGGAGAGCATTCCTGACGCTGGCAGTGCGTCTCCCCAGACTGGAAAGGAGGAGCGTGCAGAGAGGGGCTTTAGACACGGGCCCAAGATTTGGGGCAGCCTTTCGCATCTGAAAACAGGGGCGTGTTTCCAATAGTCGGGTTCCCACACCAAGCCCTCCACTCAGGCATGGAGCTCATGGCGGGAGCTCAAGCCAGTCCCTTCTCTCAGCCTGAATTTATGAGATTCGGCAGGCAGCGACCCAGGGCAGGGCCTTCTCGGTCATGGCACCGAATCTCTGGAAACTTCTCTCCCCAGGGAGATTCAACTGCCCTAGGGCTGCCAGCCTCCAGGGAGGAATCATAAAAGGAACACGATGCCGCTGTAACGGTCGCGCCGAAGTTAGGAAATAAATCTAACACAGGTAAACCGTGCTTCAAAATTATTCCGATATAGCGTATTTTTCAAACTACAGGCTATCGACTTCCAGAGTCGTTTAGCAATCAGTATCAAATAGAACGACATCGACGTACGAGGCTCTCCACGATGTGGGGATCAGAGTAGAGCAGAATCAGAATCCATAACTCGTTTGGCGATCAATGTCCCTTACAACGATATCAGAGTGTGATATTCTATATACAAGAATGAACGTCTGAGTACAGCGGAAGGATCCAAGCAAAAGGATTCAAGAAGGAATCACACGAGGATCCCAGGTATGTTGTTCTCTCGTTTCGAATGTCAGTTTGGTGTCGTGGTTAGGAGCGCGGACTCTAATCTGGGAGAACCGGGTTTGATTCCCCACACCTGCACATGCAGCTGCTGGTGTGACCTTGGGTCAGTCACAGGTTCTCTCAGAGCTCTTCTCTCAGGAGCACTCCTGGAAAGAGCTCTCTCAGCCCCACCTACCTCCTAGGGTGTCCGTGGTGGGGAGGGGAAGGGAAAGGAGATTGTAAGCCATTCTGAGACTCTGAGTGAAGGGCAGGGTATAAATCCAATCTCCTCCTCCTCCTCCTCTCCTCCTCCTCCTTCTCGAATCCTTCTGCTTGAATTCTTCTCCTATACTCTGACTTCCATATTCTCTGCTGCGAGTCCCCCAAATCCTGGAACCGGCCCCGAGTGGGGCCGCCCCTCCACACCCTCCCTCGTGACCGCCGCTCACTTACCACACACCAGCAAGTGATGCACTTCATCTCCCCAAAAGGGGGCACGGTGGGGTGCCAGCTCTCGTTGTGCATGTACCACTGGCGCCCAAACCGGCAGGCCCGGGGTCCGTCGGCCTGCATCATGTCCGACAGCAGGACAGGACTCTGCTCGGACGCTGTCGGAAGGAGAGGGGATGTGGGGAGCACGGGAAAGGGGCAGGAGGGGATTAGAGAGAGCAAAGAGTCCTTTGTAAACGATCCCACATGCTGGCACTGCCACTTCCCTAGAATCCCTCTCGAATGACCGATCGCGGGCTCCAGAAACAAGTTCACTATCTCGGGGGAACTTGGTCAACGTAGATGACCGCTCTGCTATTAGCGGTTCCTGTTTCCGGCTCGCCCGTCAATCAGCTAGCCTGTGAACTTTGCTCGACATTTAACCGTCTTCTTGGGAATCAACAATCTGTGTCGACTTGGAGGTCAAGATGCCCCTCTGGTGACCGACAGCCTTGCTGTATTGGAACCGGTTATGTGCCCGAGCCGAAACCATCCTTGCCTTTTTTGAGATAGTGCGGAAACTTTGGTTTGGAGGGAGGGAGACAAATCGACTGCCTGACGTGGACTGGACTTTTCATACTTCATCCCCAAGGCTGCCAACCTCCAGGTGGTGGCTGGAGATCTCCTGGGATTACAACCCGTGTTCCCTCTAAGATGAGTGAGTGTGAGCTGGCTCACAGTTTTTTCGCCTCTGGCTCTCACATTCTTCTTAGCTCTGGAAGGAGGGCTCCGGAGCAAACTAATTGATGCAGCCGCCAAATGGCTCACTCACAACTTTAATGCCAGCAGCTCACAAAGTAGGATTTTTCCTCACAAGACTCCGCAGCTCAGAGGGAGCGTTGGTTACAACTGATCTCGGGATTACAACTGACCAGAGACCGGTCCCCCTGGAGAAAATGGCTGCTTTGGAAGGTGCTCTTTGGCACTGTACCCCACTGAAGTCCCTCCTCTCCCCAAACCCTGCCCTCCTTAGGTTCCACCCTCCAAATCTCCAGGTATTTCCCAACCCAGAGCTGGCAGCTAGGGATGCCAGCCTCCAGATGGGGCCTGGGGATCCCCTGGAATTCCAGTTCATCTCCAGACTGCACAGCTTCCTTCCCCTGGAGGAAACGGCTGCTTTGGGGGATGGAGTCTATGGCCATGTACCCCCATCGAAGTCCCCCCTTCCCTAAACCCCACCTTCCTCAGGCCCCACCCCCAAAATCTCCAGGTTATTTTCCAACCCGGAGCCGGCAACCCTGCCTGTTCTTCATCCCACTATTTTGTTTGGAGAATCAATTCTGGCTAGAATTATCTCCCTTTTTCAGGTGGACAAAAGGACCGGCTCGCTCAGGTGACTGGACACGTCTGTCCCAGGTCGCGAGCTCTTCGATCTCCCCCGGAACAGGGCGTGTCTGCGACACCACGCTTGAGTTCTGGGCCTTAAGCGACACGACTAGGATGCCCGGGCGGCTTGAAAAACAGACTTGCAAAATGATGTGAACCATTTCAAATGGGGGGTGGGGGTGGGGGTGAGGGGCTGGCATCAGGTAGGGCAGCTGCCAAGGCCCAGGTTTTCTGCCAGCCCCCTCCCCTCGGCCACTCACTCGCTAGCCCTCAGCCTCCGACGCTCCCTGCTGCTCGCACTGCCCAGTGCAACCAGGGAAACACCTGTTGGAATGAGCAACTCAGCATGCCTGGACATTGGAGGGTGCTACATTACTCTTAAGGGTGTATAGGTGTCATCTCCTTGAATGGGATGCCTCTCTTTGTCTTAACCTGGGAGCTGCCCTTGCTCTGACCCCTCTTCTCTCACTTTGTCCTCACCCTCATTGTACATGGCCTTCCATGGTCCGCTCCCTCGCTGCACATGGCCTTCCATTGTCCTCTCCCTCGCTGCACATGGAACACTTTCCCTATGAGGAAAGGTTAAAACGCTTGGGGCTCTTTAGCTTGGAGAAACGATGACTGAGGGGTGACATGATTGAGGTTTATAAGATTATGCATGGGAAAGAGCAGGTAGAGAAAGAGGTACTTTTCTCCCTTTCTCACAATACAAGAACTCGTGGGCACTCCATGAAATTGCTGAGCGGTCGGGTTAGAACGGATAAAAGGAAGTACTTCTTCACCCAAAGAGTGATTAACACATGGAATTCACTGCCACAGGAAGTGGTGGCGGCTACAAGCATGGACGGCTTCAAAAGGGAATTAGATAAGCATATGGAGCAGAGGTCCATCAGTGGCTATTAGCCACAAGGTATAGATAGGGGCTCTGGGGCAAGTGATGCTCTGTCGTCTTGGTGCTTGCGGGGTTCAACAGTGGGAGGGCTTCTAATGTCCTGGCCCCACTGGTGGACCTCCTGATGGCACTGGTATTTCTGGCCACTGTGTGATACAGAGTGTTGGACTGGATGGGCCTTTGGCCTGATCCAACATTGGCGTCTCTTATGTTCTTATGCCCTTCCATTGTCCTCTCCCTCTCTGCACATGGCCTTCCATTGTCCTCTCCCTCGCTGCACATGCCCTTACATGGAGACACTTGTCTCTGCAGGTCTCTCCTGAAGAGACAATGCCCTCATCCTCCCACACCCATGATGCCGGGCAAGCTGACCGTTTGTGGTAGGGAAAATCTAGGCTTCTCTCTCTCTCGACTGCAACCTAAACGTGGGCTGGATCTACTTGAACAAATGTACATTTACCTTTTGTGCAATCTACTTCTTGGGAGATTTATCTCCTGCACTTGGTATCACGCTTCCGTGATTGGGCAAAACTCTGCTTTATTAACCGAATATCCCAATCAGGTCTGCAGGCAGCCGTGAGCGTGGGCAGAAGGAAGGGCTTGTGAGCAGATAGGGGAAAGATGCACAAGTAGGTGGGAGGCATGCAGGTGGGGGGGGGAGGCAGGAGTGCCTGGTGGTGGGCAGAGGAGGGAAGGGGGGCTCTGAGATCTCTCTTGTTGGTTCCAATTCTAGGCCTGTTTGGAATCAGTTCACGTGTGTTGCTGGCCAACTCACAACCCCCCCCCCCCATTGTGTTCCATTTTTTTGCTGCATGATCTATTTGTCTTATCGGACAGGTAACCTGAACCCATCAATGGCATTGCCTGCTCATGCAAACGTCGCTATCCTTTCAACTCTGTATTCCTAGCTCTGCCTTGTGTGTGTGATTTTTGCTTGTATGCCTGAGAACATTTAGTAAAGAAATAATTATTTGAGCAACACAGTCTCTCTGTGACTATTCACGGGCTCTGGGAATGCTGACTTCCGTATACACAGGCTAGGATCAATGTTCCCTCTAAGCTGAGTTGGTGTGAGCTAGCTCACAGTTTTTAAGCCTCCGGCTCACACATTTTTGTCTTGGCACAGGAAGGAAGGCTCCAGAGCAAACTAATTTATGCGGTAGCCAAACTGCTTTCTCACAACTTTAATGCCAGGAGCTCACAAAGTAGAATTTTTGCTCACAAGACTCCACAGCTTAGACGGAACATTGGTTATGATCCCATATTTTACGCCGATTGCCATTTAATATTCATAATACTCGTTATGGTTGAGCCCAGGGGGGCTCAACCAGCAGACTGGGCAATTATTATCCCACCCCCCAACTCCTTAAGTGATAGATTTCCTGCGATAGAGTTCCTGCGGAAATCTCACAGCAGCAATCAGCATGCCCCCATTCGTATGGCAGAACTGTGGCTTCAAAACAAACAGCAACTGAGCGTTGCACGGCTCACCTGGGCATTGCTTGCAGCAGTCGGAGGGGCTGGCACGGATGGGGTTGGTGCAGGTCAGGCGTGGGCACTGCACTTTCTCACAGTGCACCTCCCCGGTGGCTCCCTGTGCGTAGACAGCAGCGTCAAGGTAAGAATGCGAACTTCAGAGCACGAGGGACCAGCTCCGAGAAGACACCCCTGACTCTCGTCAGAGCTGGGGGACCCGAGTTCTAACCGCCACACTGCCATGATGCTCACTTGGGTGACCCGGGGCCGATCCTGCACTCTCAAACTCGCCTACCTCGCAGGGTTGTTGTGAAGATAAAACGGGGGGGGGAGAACCACGGACACTGCTGTGGCCTCCTCAGACGGAGGGCAGGATGGAAATGCACCCGAGGGGGCTGCCCGCCGGTCTCACCTTGCATGTGCAAACGGCGCATTTGATGAGGCCAAAAGGGGGGACCACGGGGTGCCAGCGGGTGCCTGCGGCTCGCCACGTCTTGTCCCCATCAAAGTAGCAACCTACGGCATGAGAAGGAGAGAAGAAGTCACAACCCCTCCCTTTTGAGGTTAGATCAGATGCTACCCCCCCCCCGTACACATTTATCCCAGCAGTCCCCAACATGGCCCCTGTGGGTGGCAACACCAGGGTGCCTGCCAACACCTTTCCTGGTGCCCAGCCAGTGTTCCCTCTAAGTTGAGTTAGTGTGAGCTAGCTCACAGTTTTTTAGCCTCCGGCTCACCCGTTTTTGTCCTGGCTCAGGAAGGATGTCTCCAGAGCAAACTAACTTATGTAGTAGCCAAAGTGCTCACTCACACAACTTGAATGCCAGTGGCTCACAAAGTAGAATTTTTGCTCACGAGACTCCACAGCTTAGAGGGAACAGTGTTTCTAGAAAGTGGGCGGGGCCGGGTGGGTCTTCTGCCCAGCAAGGCTTCTGATTGGCCACTGGAGATCTGATTGGCTCGGCAGATTTTTAAAAAATGTTGCTTTGGTGGCAGCACTAAGAGCTTCACTGCGGCAGCCATTTTGTGCCTGGCTCCGCCTCCTGCTGCAGCTGTTCCATGGCTGCGCCCACCGCTCTGTCCAAATCCCAAAGGTGCCCGCAGGCCCCAAAACGTTGGGGACCCCTGAATTATCCAAAAGGGGTAGCCCAAGGGAGCAGCCGTCGGAAGCAACGAAGCCTCCTGACCTCTGGCTCTTAAAATGGTCAAAGTTACAAAAGACTGTCCCCTCCTGCGCTGGTCCCATTAAGCCGGCTTCAGCGCAGATGCACTATGTCATGTGCAACTTTGATTTCTCAAATTGAGAGTCCAGCGGCACCTTTAAGGCCAACAAAGATTTATTCAAGGTATGAGCTTTCGTGTGCAAGGCACACTTTTTCTTTTCTTTTTCCAATTTTTTTTTATTTTCTAAAACCTACAAGAAAAATAGGGAAGGGGAAATGATAAGCTACGGGAGGAAGTAAAGATAAACCACTAAAAACCCAAGAGGTGTGTGGGGGGTAATATAATGCTTACAATAAAATAGCTTTGAATAAAAAAGAGTAATTTGTTACATTGTAGGTGATCGTTAACATCGCTTAAATAATTCAAGTCCAGGTATTCTGACTTAGTAAAGAACCATACACAAGAACGGTTAGATAATGAGAATCAAAAGTCAAACTTCAGAGAAAATTGGCACCTCATTTTCCTCTTCTTTCCCTCAATCGATATCCTTGCTTGGGGGCCGCCGCCCTACTAAGGCTTGCGGTCACACGGAAGATAGGCGGATTTTCCGGGCGCGATCAAACCGTAACATCTGGGGAGCGTAGAGCTCCCGTGGCTAACCCGAGGCTTCCCACCGAAGATGCGCCATAAAAAACTAGTACCTCCGAGGTACTAGTTTTCGGAAACCGCGGGACAAGGGCGGGCGTCTGATCACATTTCCGGTGGTAGCTTGTGGCATCCGGTGCCCGCCCATGTCCCGTCGCAAAAAGGTTTTTTCCCCCCAAGTCTCCACGGGATGCGCACAAGCACCCAACGGCGCATGCGCACACTTCGGGTAAAAAAACCCACAACCCCCGCCGCGCCGCTTCTTTGCCGCGCCGCAGGATTGATGTATGATCGGCACCTCCCCCCGAACCATGGGACGTCGGCAGGATGTTTGATTTGGCGGCCGCACGGTAGTTCGCTCCGGGGCAAACAGCTATGCCTCCCCCCCGCGATATCTGGCCCGTGTGACCGGGGCCTAAGGCACACTTTTTCAAATACATCGGAATGGAAGGTAAGAGTTAAACAGCAAATGAACATGTAACATGATGAAGATGTTTTAAGACAGGCGAAGACAAAAACTAAGTAACAAGCTAAGGTTATAAGGTCAACAGTTGTTTTGATTTAATTAAGGGGGGAAAACACCAAAGCGATAACTATGTCAAAATAGGAGATAAATGTGTAAAGGTATCTTTTCTAATTGTGGGGAGTAAACTGAGACTCTCCATTCGTCTCCTCTCAGATGTGGAGGTAACTTAACAGCATTTTTTCTTCTTCTCTGAGGTGGGTGCAGTGTTCTGTCAGCAAAACATTCCAATATCCCTAGCATTACTTTCAATATTCTAATATACTATTCTGAAAAAGAAATACACTAAAATACAGAGGACCTCTGGTCCTTCTTGTTGAGAATACATATGTGAGGACAGAATGAGTTAGCATATGTAATGAGATAAGAAACCTCAGTGAAGGATCTGAGAGCTGGGGTTAGAATCATAGAATGTGAGAGTTGGAAGGGACCTTACAGGTCATCTAGTCCAACCCCCTGCACTCTGCAGGACCATAGCTGAAAGATAGCCCTACAACATACTCGAAAGATGGTCGTCCAGCCTCTACAACATACCCGAAAGATGGTTGTCCAGCCTCCGCTTGAAAACGTCCAGCGGAGCATCCACCCCCTCCCGAGGCAGACTCTTCCACTGCTCAACCATTCTTACAGTCAGGAAGTTTCTCCTGATATTTAGCCGGTATCGACTCTCTTGTCATTTCCACCCATTAGATCTAGTCTTGCAATCCGGAGCGAGAGAGGATAGATCCGCTCCACCTTGAAGACTGCAATCATGTCCCCTCTAAGCCTTCTCTTTCCCAAGCTAAACGTACCGAACTCTTTCAGCCTTTCCTCGTAAGACTTGGATTCCAACCAATGCTCCCTCTAAGCTGTGGAGTCTTGTGAGCAAAAATTCTACTTTGTGAGCGACTGGCATTAAAGTCGTGACTGAGCGATTTTGGCTACTGCATAAATTAATTTGCTCTGGAGCCCTCCTTCCTGAGCGAAGACAAAAATGTGTGAGCCCGAGGCTAAAAAAACTGTGAGCTGGCTCACACCAACTCAGCTTAGAGGGAACACTGGTTCCAACCCTCGCCGGGCATTTGCAGGCAGGCCAGGCCAGATAAACCCCTCGACCGGGATCTGAAGACGTGTGCCTGCACACGAAAGCTTATATCCAGAATAAAACTCTGTTGGCCTTCAAGGTGCCCCCTGGGCTCAGACTCCGGATTCCCCCCCTCAGCCGGCCCACGTGTCCTGAGCCTCGGATCCCACGCTTACCTTCGCTGCTGTCTCGGGCCTTCTCGGCTGTCTGCCCTTCTAGGACTTCCCTCCTCTCTGTTCACAAAGAAACGATGCAGAAGGGTCACAAACAGAGACAGAAGTGGCCACCGTGGCTGGGATTTTGTGGCTTGTGGGGCAAAACGTTTCCCGGTGGGGCTGCTATGATCGGCCATAATGAAGAGAGGGAGGGTGGCGCACGCTCCTCTCCCTCCCCTCCTGCAAGATCTACACGGCCTTCCAGCTGATCGACGGGCCCCATGCTGCCCCCCCAATCGGCTGAGGTAAAAGTAAAGGTGAAGGCTTCCCCTCGCTCGAAAGCCAGTCGAATCAAACTCTAGGGATGCGGGGCTCATATCCGTTTCCAAGCCGAGGAGCCAGCGCTGTCCAAAGATGTCTCCGTGGCAATGTGGCCAGCATGACTAGACACCGAGGCGCACGGAACGCTGTCGCCTTCCCACCGAAGTGGTACCTATTTATCTACTTGCTGTTTCTTGCTTTCGAACTGCTCGGTTGGCAGGAGCTGGGGCCAGAGACGGGAGCTCCCTCCGTCATGTGGCACACTCGGGTCTCGAACTGCCGAACCTTCCGGTCTGCAGCCCAGCGTCTTAATCTCTGAGCCACTGCGGCCTTGCGTTCAGCTGAAGGGCCCTTTAAATCCTGCAGGAGGGGAGGGAGAGGGGCGTGCGCCACCCCCCTGCTTCTTCTCAAAAGCATTTAAAGGATCCCTTTAAATGCTTTTGGGAAAAGGGGGGGCCTTTAAGAAGCGGGGGGGGTCTTTAAGGAAGGGGGCTGGACCTTTAAGGAAGGGGGCTGAGCCCCGAACAGCCACACTCTAGCCACGGGCCAGTCTCCAGGCCCCACCTGGATGTTGGCAACACTACTTGTTCTCTACGCGCACAGATGCGGAGCATGTCTTTAGACAAGCCCTGCAAGGCTCTCTGATCCGGCAGAGGCGGCGCCGCCACCCTCTCGAGGGTTCCCAACCCGGAAGTCGAAGGTTCCCGCCCCAGAGTAGTGTTTTCAGCGATTGACAAGGAGAAGAAGCCCTTTAACAACCCCCACCCCCACCCGCGTTGCCATGTCCCTCCTGACCTTCGCACACTGGGCAGCACTGGTCCTCCGGAAGCACTGGCTGGGAGCAGTTGAGGGGCTGGCACAGGACCGGGTCGCAGATGACGGTGCGCTTCTGCCGAGGTGGCGGGAGACATGCAACGAGAGGAGAGTCAGCCCTTCGGAAGCGGATTCGGAAGCTGAACGCGGAGGGGAGCGCGAGCGTCGGAGGTGTGGGCCGGGACTCGCATCCGGCGCTCCCGGAAACCTTCAAAGCTGAACTTTCTGGCTCCTGCGGTGTGGCAAGCCGTTCAACCCTGCCCCGGCTAGTTCTCAGGGTTCTCAGGGGAATTCGATCACAGATCCCCCAAAGCACACAGAATTGGCAACAACCCAAGGAATGAATGGCCTTCTGCCCACTCAGAACGTGGGTCCCGCGAGCTTTGCTGCACGGCCCTCGATATCTGTTGCAACCGGTGTTCCCCCTAAGCTGAGTTCGTGGGAGCTAGCTCACAGTTTTTTAGCCTGTGGCTCACACATTTTTGTCTCCGCTCAGGAAAGATGGCTCCGGAGTAAACTAATTGATGCAGTAGCCAAATCCCTCTCTCACAACTTTGATGCCGGTAGCTCACAAAGTAGAATTTCTGCTCACAAGACTCCACAGCTTAGGGGGAACATTGGTTGCAACCTGTTGGAAGGGCCTGTTTCCCAAAGGGGTGCTCCAACTATAGGAGAGGGCCTGAAAAAGCGCTTCAAAGAGGCTCATCTTATTCTACTGAATCAGTCCCCCGGGTCCGTCAAAGTCAGTATTGTCGACTCAGACTGGCAGTGGCTCTCCAGGGTCTCAGACTGAGGTCTTTCCCATCACCTACTGCCTGGTCCCTTTTAACTGGAGATGCCGGGGATTGAACCTGGGACCTTCTACATGCCAGGCAGAGGCTCTTCCACTGAGCCACAGCCCCTCTTTACAGCTCTCCAGGGTCTCAGGCTGAGGTCTTTCCCATCCCCTACTGCCTGGTCCCTTTTAACTGGAGATGCCGGGGATTGAACCTGGGACCTTCTACATGCCAGGCAGAGGCTCTTCCACTGAGCCACAGCCCCTCTTTACAGCTCTCCAGGGTCTCAGGCTGAGGTCTTTCCCATCCCCTACTGCCTGGTCCCTTTTAACCGGAGATGCCGGGGATTGAATCTGGGACCTTCTGCATGCCCAGTGGATGCTCTACCACTGAGCCATGGCTCTCTTCGAAATTCAGTCTTAAATAATTACAACAACAGTGTTTCCCTGCCCCCTTTTTTCTGAGGGAACATTCCCCATCTGGGAGAGCTGTATAGGATCAACTTGGTTTCTTCCCCTGCAGGTAAGTCATTCATTCATTCATTCATTCATTCATTCATTCATTCATTCATTCATTCATTCTGTTCTTTAATTCATGAAATGTGCATCCTGCCTCTCCAGAGCTGCCTGAGGTGGCTTGCAACAAAAACAGTAAAACAGAACCAACCAAGACAATAAAAAGGAGATAGATCAAGATGGGTAGCCGTGTTAGTCTGTCTGTAGCAGTAGAGCACCTTAAAGACATCTGGCAGGGTATGAGCTTTCGTGAGCCACTGCTCACTTCTTCAGATACAGCTAGAATGTGAGTCCATCTATCCTATATATTGCAAAGTGAAGTGATTTCAGGCAGATTAGCAGGCAAATGACAATAGCGGGTGTGATTGGATTAGGTGTGATATGCAGAGGCGTGGAGAAATCAGCATTGGTAATGAGACAGGAAACCTAGGTCTTGATTCAGTCCAGGTGGATGCATTGTCTTGAGCTTTGTTACCAGTTGCAATTCAGCAGTCTCTCTTTCTAATCTCACTTTGAAATTCCTTTTGTAAGAGAACTGCTACTTTTAGGTCAGCAACTGAACGTCCTGGAAGGTTAAAATGTTTCCCCACTGGTTTTTGAACGTTGTGGAGTCAATCAAAAGAGATCACACCAATAAAGCCAAGTAAATACAAACGAGTCAAGACAATAAGAAAATAAATAAAAACAAGTCGACAGAAACAAGCCAGGGCATAAAAGCACAGCGCAGTCTCAAATTATGTTAATAAAATAGTCCTCGGGCTAGAAGTGGGTCATAAAACATCTAAAAAAGCTGGAGCCCTTAGAAACTTAGAAACATAGAGCTGGCAGGTACCCTAAGAGTCATCTAGTCCAACCCCCTGCACAATGCAGGAGATTCACGGCAAAAAACCCCACCCCCTTAGTTAAAAGCCTGGGGAAAGCGAAAGAGTTTGCCCTGGCTGCTAAAAGAGAGATCAAGACGGGTAGCTGTGTTAGTCTGTCCACAGCAGTAGAAAAGAGCAAGAGTCCAGGAGCACCTTAAAGACTAACAAAATATGTGTCAGGGTAGGAGCTTTCGTGAGTCACTGCACACTTCTTCAAAAAGACAGTAAGGTAGGGTAAGACCCAGGCAAGCCTCAAGGGGGAGGCCATTCCAGAGACAAGGTGCCACCACCAAAAAAGCCTTGTCTCTAGTCACCGGCCACCTCCCCTCTGCAGGTGGGGACACAGAGATCTGGGCTTCAGGAGAGGGTCTTCAACGGCAGTGTAACGATTCCATGTTTTACTGGGTGTGTGTGTCTTTAAAGTTTGGTTTGTATGGATGTATGACGGACTAGGATGCTGGACTCAGGCAAGTGATATGATTGGTGAGTGACAGAGAGGGGGAGGGGTTTTGGAATGGATGCTGTGTGGATGATTGGAATGTCTTTCAGGAGTGTGTTAAGAGTTGTCAGTTAAACAACTGACAGCAGAGACAGCAGAGAGTGCTGTATAAAAGCAGTTAAAATGAGAGTTGTCCTGAGGTCCCTGTGAGGGAAAGATTGGGTTCTGTGTAGTAAAAGAGTTAAGCAGTTTGTTCGTTTTAAGGTCTGAGAGAGAGAAGTCTGGTGTGTGTTATGAAAAGTTAAAGCATAAAGAAACAGTAACCATATATGGCCTAAGGAAAAGATTGTTACAAAGTGACATGCCCTGATCCCTGTCAATAAGAGGGAAGAGTGTGTGAACATCAAATAAATCTACTTTTATTTAAGACACAAGTTCTGAACGAAATTCTTCCCAGGAAACACTTAGTCCTTCGAAAGCCCAAACCCTGGGTCACAATACCAAAACCAGTAGGAAAAATATTAAAGGACAAGGTCCGGGAAAGCCTAAATTTCCCTGGTGGCAGCCAGATTACCCTGAGAGCAAACATAAAGAACATTTTAAAAGTAAAACTAGACCTCCCCAAATAAGAGGTCGTCACAGGCAGACTCTACTTTAGTCTAGAACAGGGGTTCCCAATGTGGTGCCCGTCAAGTGTTTTTTGAAAGAAGGCGGGGCCAGGTGGGACTTTTGCCCAGCAAGGCTTCTGATTGGCCACTGGAGATTTGATTGACTGTGCAGATTATTATTTTTTTAGAATGTTGCTTCGGTGGCATCCACCACCACAGCACAAAGATCTGCGGCAATTGTTTTGTGGCTGGCTCCACCTCCTCTGGCCGCCATTTTGTTGCTGCGCCCAGCATGCCAATCCCAGAGGCGCCCACCAGCTCAAAAAGGTTGGGAACCCCTGGCCTAGAAGCCCACGCGCCCTGCCATGGGATCCAGGGACTGACCGCCGTCGTCAGATCGGTACTTCCGGAACGCCCTGCCCTTTCATTCTACCCACCTGGCAGCTACAGATGGAGCATTTCTTGTCATAGTCCGGGGCCCAGTGGGAGCCGTGAGGTCTGTGCTGACCTTCGAAGAAGCAGGAATTCGGGCCACTCTTCAGCTCTTCGGGGTTCTTGGGGACCGGGTCCTCCGGCAGCTCGTCCTCTGGATCTCCGGGGGCCAATCGGATGCCCCCCGCCTCACAGTGGTTTGGAACGTGCACCTGAAAGAACAGCGGCTTTTAGGGCGTGTGGGGCAGGAAGGCATTCCGTTATGTGGATCGGGGGGGGGGTGTCAAAAAATATATCCAGGACGGACGTCGTGTTGTTGAAAAGCGCCATCAGATCACAGCCGACTGACAGAAACCCCACAGGGTTTTGAAGGCGAGAGATGTTCAGAGGTAATTTGCTATTGCCTGCCTCTGGCTGTGGTCGCACATGCTAAATAATCCACTTCCAATGCACTTTCCGACTGGATTTCACTGTGTGAACTGGCAACAATCAGGTCAGAACAATGAGCGGTCGGGTTAGAACTGATAAAAGGAAGTCCTTCTTCACCCAAAGCATGATTCACACATGGAATTCACTGCCAGAGGAGGTGGTGGCGGCTACAAGCATGGATGGCTTCAAAAGGGAATTAGATAAGCATATGGAGCAGAGGTCCATCAGTGGCTATTAGCCACAAGGTATAGATAGGGGCTCTGGGGCAAGTGAAGCCAGCTGGGTGACCTTGGGTCAGTCACAAGTTCTCTCGGAGCTGTTCTCTCAAGGGCAGTTCTCAAAGGAGCTCTCTCAGCCCCACCCACCTCACAGGGTGTCTACTGTGGGAAGGGGAAAGGGTTCCTAAGCCGCTCTGAGACTCCGAGTGAAGGGCGGGGTATAAATCCCAGCTCTTCTTCTCTTCCTCTTCAGGATTCTGTGGCACAGTGGGGAATCTGAACCCGGATCTCCCCGTTCCTAGTCCAGCACTCTAACCACTATGCCATTGTGTCTGCTCTGGCCTCCAACAACGGCAGGATTTATTTAAATTTCCATTTATATCCCACCGTTCTCTCCGATGGGGACTCACAGTGGCTCGCTTCGTTCTCTTTGCCTCCTTTTTACCCTCCCAACAACCCTGCGAGGTAGGTTAGGCTCAGAGTGTGTGATTGGCCCAAGGCCACGCAGCAAGGTTCCAGAGCAGAGTGGGGATTCGAACCAGGGTTTCTCAGATCCTAGTTCAACCTCCACGGGGGGGGGGGGGGGGGGGGGGGGGGTGGGCGGGGGGGGGGGGGGGGGGAGAGAGATTTTCCCGGCGGAGCGCAGCTTCGTGCTTCACCAGGAAAGGGGGGCTGCTGGTGTGACCTTGGGTCAGTCACAACTTCTCTCGGAGCTGTTCTCTCAAGGGCAGTCCTCGGGAGAGCTCTCTCAGCCCCACCCGCCCCACAGGGTGTCTGTTGTGGGGAGGGGAAGGGGAAGGAGATTGTAAGGCGCTCTTAGACTCCTTCGGGTAGTGAAGGGCGGGGTATAAATCCAATCTCTTCTCAGAGAGGCAGTTTGGTGTAGTGGTTAAGTGTGCGGACTCTAATCTGGGAGAACCAGGTTTGATTCCTCCACTCCTCCACCTGCAGCTGCTGGTGTGACCTTGGGTCAGTCACACGTTCCCTCAGAGCTGTTCTCTCAAGGGCAGTCCTCGAAAGAGCTCTCTGGGCCCCACCGACCTCACAGGGTGTCTGTGGTGGGGAGGGGAAGGGAAAGGGATTGCAAGCCGCTCTGAGACTCCGAGTGAAGGGCGGGGTATCAATCCAACCTCTCCTTCTCCCAAATCTCCAGGAATTCCCCAACCCGGAGTTGGCAACCCTATCTGACAGCATGGCCGTGCCTCCTGACTTTCAGCTAAAATCCACCCTCCTGAAACCATCGATCTCGTCTCGCCCTCTACAGTAGCCGAGAACAGATCTCTAACCCTTTTTCACGTGAGAAACTGTCGACATATTTGCTGTGATCTTTCCTGGCACTTCAGCACCGCTTGGTTTTAAGAACATAAGAACATAAGAGACGCCAATGTTGGATCAGGCCAAAGGCCCATCCAGTCCAACACTCTGTATCACACAGTAGCCAGAAATACCAGTGCCATCAGGAGGTCCACCAGTGGGGCCAGGACATTAGAAGCCCTCCCACTGTTGGGCCCCCCCAGCACCAAGAAGACAGAGCATCACTTGCCCGAGACCCCCTATCTATACCTTGTGGCTAATAGCCCCTGATGGACCTCTGCTCCATATGCTTATCTAATTCCCTCTTGAAGCCATCCATGCTTGTAGCCGCCACCCCCTCCTGTGGCAGTGAATTCCATGTGGTTGCATTGTACGCTGATGTGGCATCCTCTCTCCGTTGCAAATGCGGCATCAGTCCCTGCCCGTGCCAAGTGGCTGCCCTCGGTCCCTGGCTAATCCACCTGCATGGCGCCCAGTCCTGCCAACTCTCCGGAGCAGGTGGCGCTGCTCTGGTCCCCTTCGGCCGGAGAACCAGCTCCGACGGGGCTCGGCAGCAGCGGGGAGGAGGGGAAGGAGCCGCACGTGCCGAGGCCGTGTGCCAGAAGAGCTGGCATCCGCCCAGCCCCATGGAGCTTCTGGGAACCCATCGGCGAGGCTGGCGCGGGGCCCGGAAGCGGGAGGCGGAGGACAGGCTGTCTTTGCGAAATCACCCGTTTGGATTCTTCCGGCGCAGGCGTCGGGGAGAATCGGCGCCGAGGAATCCCTTGCCACCCAGCTGGGGCATGAGCTGCCCTGCGGGCTCGGAGAGAGGAAGGCGCGGTGAGAAACTGGGCCCGGAAGTACGGGTGGCCTCAACACTGCCAGGGTCAAGTCGAAGCAACAAATGTAAACGGAGTGGGGTCCGTTCCCTCTTTCCAGGAAAAACGGCTGATGCATGGGCCAATGTGGACGGCGTGGGATTTGGGGACCCCTAAGCAAGGATTCTGAGCTGTCTTACTAAGCGACAGGATGGGGGCAGGAGCTAGGCTTGCCAACCTCCAGGTGGGGTAAGCGCGGAAAGTCACCCGGTTTAAACAAAGCACACAGTTCTGATATGCGACTGGTTGTGTGGTTCAGTTGCACAGTCGAGTCCGACTCTTCGCGACCCCATGGACCAGACCCCGCCAGGCCCTCCTGTCTTCCGCTGTCCTCTGAAGTTTGCTCAATTTCATGTTCGTTGCATCGATGACACTGTCTAACCCTCTCATCCTCTGCCATCCCCGTCTTCTTTGACCTTCAATCTTTCCCAGCATCAGGGCCTTCTCCAGTGAGTGCTCCCTTCTCATTGGGTGGCCAAAGTATTTGAGCTCCAGTTTCATTATCTGGCCTTCCAGGGAACAGTCAGGGTTGATTTCTTTTAGGATTGACTGATTTGATCTTCTTGCAGTCCGAGGGACTCTCAAGAGTCTTCTCCAGCACCATAGTTCAAAAGAATCTATTCTTCGGCGCTCGGCCTTCCTTATAGTCCAACTCTCGCAGCCATACATGACTACTGGGAATACCATTGCTTTAACCATGCGGACTTTTGTTGGCAGGGTGATGTCTCTACTTTTTATCATGCTGTTTAGGTTCGCCATCACTTTCCTCCCAAGGAGCAGGCGTCTTTTAATTTCATGGCTGCTGTCACAGTCTGCGGTGATCTGGGATCCCAGGAACGTGAAGTCTGTCACTACTTCCACGACTTCCCCTTCTATTTGCCAAAGAGTGATGGGGCCGGATACCATGATCTTAGTTTTTTTGACGTTGAGCTTCAAGCCCACTTTTGCGCTCTCCTCTTTTACCCTGAGCAGGAGGCTCTTTAGGTCCTCTTCACTTTCTGCCATTAGAGTGGTATCGTCTGCATATCTGAGGTTGTTGATATATATTATATGCGACTATAACTTCATCATTTGATTAAATCATATGCTTGTAATATACAGTGAAGGCCCTACTGCAACCTAATAACTACAGTGCACTGATAACAATGACAAAAGAGATATACAAATGAATATGACAATATAAATCTTGTAGGAATGTCCACAAACTAATTTATGCAGCAGCCAAATCGCTCGCTCACCACTTTAATGCCAGTAGCTCACAAAGTAGAATCTTTGCTCACAAGACTCCACAGCTTAGAGGGAGTATTGGTTCTGGCCCCACTGGTCGACCTTCTGAGAGCCCCTGGGTTTTGGCCACTGTGTGACTCCAAATTGCTGGACTGGATGGACCATTGGCCTGATCCAGCATAGCCCTTCTCTCCTTAAGTCACTGAGTATTTGGAGAAGGGAAGGTTCCCCCCCCCACCCCATCATTTTACCTCCACGCCGAGAAAAGCTCCACCTGCTGAACTCCCGCCTGCTGCGCTGCTATTCAAGGCCCCCCTGCTCTGCTCTGCTGGGACAAAAGGAAGTTGCCTTCCGTCAAGAACACAGGATCCTTTGGCTCAATGCAGAAGACGGTTTATTGGCAAGTGACGGCCGCTGCCAGCCAAACACGTTTCCAGACTGTCTCCCAGATTAAGGACCACGTGACGGTTTTTGGAAAAACATCATCATCCCTTTTGGAAAACCTCTTTCTCTCTCTGTCTGATCTTCAACTCTGTCAACAGAGAAAGCCTTTTGCATCCCAGGGCTTTCAGGCCATTCTTTGCGAGGGTGATATATTCGAGAAGACTCTTATCGGGGCAAAACTGCCCAGGAATTGCAACTTCTCCTCTGGGGACGATTCCAAGAAAAGGATGTTCCACATTTCTGAATGTATTCCAGTTTAAATACTAAGATAAGGAAAGGATTTGCTGGCGCCACTGCAAACCGGCCCCTCTCCCCATATTCTGAAAAGTGAGGATTTCTCCCAAGTGGTGTATGCAAGAGCCAGTATGGTGCGAGGTTTGGATTAGGCTGAGGGTGGCCTGGGTTCAAATCCCTACTCAGCCGCAGAGCTCACTGGGCAATCTTGGACTAAGAGTTGACAAGTGACCTGCAAGAGAAAATTCCCCGCCCCTTTAACAGAGGCTTAAGGGGATGTCAGTTATCAGGGGGTGGGTTTTGGTTGCTTAAAAAGTGATGGTGCTCATATATAAGGATGTACTGATTTCCATTTGAGCGGTGGCTCAAGTGGTTAAGACGCTGAACTGCAGGCTGTGGAAGGTCAGTAGTTCAGCAGTTCGAGACCCGAGTTGCCGCATGACGGAGTGAGCTCCCGTCTCTAGTTCCAGCTCCTGCCAACCTAGCAGTTCGAAAGCAAGAAATTGCAAGTCGATAGATAGGTACCCCTTCGGTGGGAAGGTAACAGCGTTCTGTGCGCCTTGGTGTTTAGTCATGCCGGCCACATGACCATGGAAACGTCTTCGGACAGCGCTGGCTCTTTGGCTTTGAAACGGAGATGAGCACCGCAACCCTTGAGTTGGATTCGACTGGCTTTTGAGCAAGGGAACCTTTACCTTTACTTTACTGATTTCCACCAGTTCCTGTCTCAGGACTCGGGACTCGCAGTGTTCCCGCTAAGCTGTGCGTGCGAGTGGCCGCCCATTAACACAGGAAGCCCCGCTCAGCAGCAATCTGGAGCCGCCCAGGGTCTTGTCCTGCCCATAGTCCATTTTAAAATGATCAAACAAGCAAGGTGAAGGTGGTCAATAATAGAATCGACCAAACATACAGAAACAACCTTGAAGAATATAAACACAATCCGTTTAGGGGTTTTTTTTGGTGTAGTGGTTAAGTGCGCGGACTCTAATCCGGGAGATCCGGGTTTGATTCCCCACTCCTCCACTTGCAGCTGCTGGTGTGACCGTGGGTCAGTCACAAGTTCCCTCAGAGCTGTTTTTGTAAAAGCAGTCCTCAAAAGAGCTCTCTCAGCCCCACCTACCTCACAGGGTGTCTGTTGTGAGGAGGGGGAGGGAAAGGAGTTTGTGAGCCACTCTGAGTGAAGGACAGGGTATAAATCCAATCTCTTCTCTTCTTCTTTTTTTGCAAAAATATTTATAGTGATGTAAGATAAGCTATCACGTAAAGTGCAAATAAAGAACAAAGCGCACCATTACGTTGAAAGACATACAGTTCCAAGCGGGACGTAAACCCTGCTGCATACAATCTTGACGGGACCGAGTGGCTAGCTCAAGCTTGTCATTAGAGACGCTTGCCGCCATGCACTTCTGAATTCTCGGAAACTAGTGGGAGTCCCACAAGCCTTATGAAGACTAACGGCTTGATAAAGATATCGATTCGAAACAGGCCTATCGTGTAGTACTAACCTTGACGTCTTCCTGCTCCGAGGGACTTATTTTCAGCCGTTAAAGAGAATGGTGTTTCTACTCTTAACAGCATAAAGTAGATTGTTGGATTGGTCCCTTGATTTATTTAATTAATTAATTAGTTTGTACCCCGGCCTCCCCACAAAAGCAGGCTCAGGGCGGCTTACACTGGTTAATACATCATTAACAATTAAAATCCACATAAAAGCATCCAAAAACAGTTCAAGCATAACCATTCAATGGCATCAAGTGCTGGCGATATCCAATTAATTGCTTAACGGTGGCGTTTTGTAAGAGTGCATACAAAAGTCTAACCATTATTCTGCTCCACGATCTTCCAAATACGGGCGGCGGCACAGGCTAGATGTCAAAACCAAGGGCCAGGGCTCTATAATCAAGACTGTATTTCAGCAGGGTTTATTTCCCACTTGTATTTTGTAGGCTTTTCGATGTAATCATGCACTTTGTACTTTATTTGCACTTTACGTGATAGCTTATCTTAGATCACTACAAATGTTTTTGCAAAAAACTTACATTTTGTTCATATTCTTCAAGGTTGCTTTTGTATGTTCGGTTCATTTTAAAATGACAGCAGTTGTATTCTGCTGAGGATGTGAATGGCTCCGCTCGGGGAAAAGATTACGGGGAACATTGCCTGGGAGAGCCCCTCCCCCAACTGCGCTGGCACTTAGTGTCCGTATTGCCACGAAACCAAAATACCCGGTTATTTATCCCCGTGCCATGGAAAGTTTCACCTGCTGATATCCACTAAAGTGGCAGGACACATTTCTCCACACCAGTTGGCAGGGGTCATTTCGTAGAAAAAGAGGTGCAGGAGCTCATTAGCATAACTTATTAGCACAACTTGTTTGCATATGCCACACCCCCTGACATCACCGGAAGTGTGTCAGAAGGCAACACCCACCGCTCAGGCTCCACTGGACTGTTTTGGATTGTTAGCTATGGGGGAAGGGGATGTGCATATCTGCCCTCGCAGAGGAGGGAGAGCTTGTACCGGAAAGGGGGGGGGGGCTCTGCAACTTACCTGGTTGCTTCTTGCTCCTTGTGGCCCGATTGAGGGTGCTGGGAGCAGGGGGCGGGGCTTGCTGCATGTGCCCACCCCCTGGGCTCCTTACTGCCGGAGCTCCGCTCCTGTGCGCTCCCGCAGGAAATGAACCATGCCAGTTGGCAACCCACTCAATCTCAGGCTAACCAACCTTACAGGATTGTTGTGCACTTCGAATGGAGGAGAAGAGACCCAGCCATGCCCCCCAAGAAGCTCAAATTTTGATGGCTCTCTTGCCCGGATGTCTTTTGAAACAGTTTAGCCATTGGTTGAAAGCAAACACTGCTCTCCGTTAAGAAGAGAAGAGATTGGATTTATAACCCACCCTTCTCTACCCGCAGGAGTCTCAGAGCGGCTTATAATCTCCTTTCCCTTCCCCTTCCCACAACAGACACCCTGTGAGGTAGGCGGGGCTGAGAGAGCTCTGAGAGAACTGCCCTTGAGAGAACAGCTCTGAGAGAACTTGTGACTGACTCAAGGTCACACCAGCAGCTGCACGTGGAGGAGTGGGGAATCAAACCCAGTTCTCCCAGATTAAAGTCCACAGTCTTAACCACTACACCCAACTGGCTCTTAACCACTACACCAAACTGTTAGAGAAGCCACCAAACATCCCTGAGGGTGAATCTGGAGCGTTCTAGATCAGGTCAAACGCTGCAGGAACTTTGAGGGAGTGTTTAGAAGAGTTTTGAGAAAACTAGCAGTTAGCTTCCACTGAATTTCATAACGAAGCAAAACTTGAGGCAATCTGAAGACGCCAAATCAGCAACACCACTAGGGAATTTTGTTGGACAAGAGACTCCAAAGGCGAAGCCAGTTGTTACTGAGTGGAAAAATTCCTGATGCATTTCGCTGATCTTCATGCGGGGAAGGTCGTTGGGTTCTTATAAGAGTCGCACTACATACGATGCTGGAATTCCATCACTGGATCTCCCAAAGCGCATCCTGTCCTTCAAAAGCACTCTGGGAGGGTGACGTGGATCAGGGCTGATTGGCTCTTTCCCATGTCCTCCATGCACTGCTTTCAGTCCCAGCACAGAGGGGGGAAAAGATCAGGAACCAGCTTTATTACTAAAGCAGAAGGGTTAGGAAGGGGGGAATATTTCCAATAAGGAAAACAATGTGTAGAGAAAGAGCTATACTCCCTTCCACAGCACTGCAGCCCATCTGTATTGAAGAAGAGACTGGATTTATACTCCACCCTTCACTACCCAAAGGAGTCTCAGAGCAGCTTACAATCTCCTTTCCCTTCCCCTCTCCACAATAGACACCCTGTGAGGGAGGTGGGGCTGAGAGAGCCCTTTTGAGGACTGCCGTTTCCAGAACAGCTCTGGGGAAACTGTGACTGATCCAAGGTCACTCCAGCAGCTGCATGTGAAGGAGTGGGGGAATCAAACCCGGTTCTCCCAGATTAGAGTCCGTGCTCCTAACCACTACACCAGACTGGCTGTCGTATCCAGGAGCTCCCCTGAGTGTGCTACATAAACGGAGCTTTCTTTGTGTCGGCTTGACAAGGCTCAGGGCTAAAGGAATTAAATTAAATTATCGTATGGCATTGTGTGTGGAATCGTCAGGAGATCCCGACGGATTATTTGGCTGTCTGAAAGTGTAGCTCTTTTTTGGCACCACTAGGTGGCGACTATATTTATCATTTTTAGACTGAGAGTGCTGTGTGACTGGCCCAAGGTCACCCAGCTGGTTTCAAGTGGGAAAGTGGGGAATTGAACCCAGTTCGCCAGATCTGCCGCTCTTAACCACTATACCAAACTAACTTTCTAGGCCTAAAGGGAGTTGTTATGAGCAGGGCTATTTTTGGGCAGGAACGCACAGGAACGGAGTTCCGGCTGGCTCCCAAATTGGCCACGCCCAGCAGGAACTCATTAGCATAATAGGCCACACCCAATAGCAGAAACTCGTTAGGATTGGCTACATTAGGGGTGTGGCCTAACATGCAAAGGAGTTCCTGCTACAAAAAAAGGCCCTGGGTTTTGACAACAAACAAGGTAAACAGAATAAGAAGGGAAAGGTGAGTGTGGCTGGATGACCACACTTCTGGTAACACGGGGGTGCAGCCTAATATGCTAATGAGCTATGCTCTCATGGGTGTGGCTGGATATGCTAATGGATTTCTGTTGTTGGGTGTGGCCTATTATGCTAATGAGTTCCTGCTGGGCTTTTTCTACCAAAAAAAGCCCTGGTTATGATCATGTATTAACATTAGCACACGAGGGAAGATCAGCCTGTATGGTTTCCTGCTGTTCAACTTTCATTCAAATTGCGGCCCAAACATCCGAAGCGCTTCACGTAAATTGTTTTAGCAAATCTTGCAACGACCCTGCAAGGCAGGCCAGAACCTTTATCCCTATTTTGCCCGAGGCGGAGAAAACACTGGCATCCCGTGCCTACCTTGCCCCGGATTTCCCCTCGCGGATTCGCTTTGGTGCTGACTTGCAGGAAGGCGGTGCCCCGAGCCAGGTGACGAAGCAGTTCCTGATCCAGGTCCTTCACAACGCCCTGGGCCTGCACGGGAAACAGCAGCACGAAAGTCGTGATCTGACAGAGAGCACCCACGCCCCAAAAATCCAAATTAAATTTTTGCACCCTTGAAATGTGGGCAAATTTTATTGCGACTGCAATAAAAAAAGGCCAATGCTATGCTGGGGATTATTAGGAAGGGAACTGAAAACAGATCAGCCAGTATCATAATGCCCCTGGATAAATCGATGGTGCCACCTCATTTGGAGTACTGTGTACAGGTCTCGTCACCACACCTCAAAAAGGATACTATAGGTTTGGGAAAAGTGTAGAAAAGGGCAACTCGAATGATAAAAGGGTTGGGACACTTTCCCTATGAGGAAAGGTTAAAGTGCTTAGGGCTCTTTAGCTTGGAGAAACGACGGCTGAGGGGTGACATGATCGAGGTTTATAAGATTATGCATGGGATAGAGCAGGCAGAGAAAGAGGTACTTTCCTCCCTTTCTCATAATACAAGAACTCGTGGGCACTCCATGAAATTGCTGAGCGGTCGGGTTAGAACGGATGAAAGGAAGTCCTTCTTCACCCAAAGAGTGATTAACACTTGGAATTCACTGCCACAGGAGGTGGTGGCGGATACAAGCATGGACAGCTTCAACAGGGAATCGGATAAGCATAAGGAGCAGAGGTCCATCAGTGGCTGTTAGCCACAAGGTATAGATAGGGACTCTGGGGCAAGTGATGCTCTGTATTCTTGGTGCTTGGGAGAAGGGACAACAGTAGGAGGGCTCCAAGTGTCCTGGCCCCACTGGTGGACCTCCTGATGGCACCAAGTATTTTTGGCCACTGTGTGACAGAGTGTTGGACTGGATGGGCTGTTGGCCTGATCCAACATTGGCCTCTCTTGAGTTCTTACGCTCATAAATCAGCCATCCATCTTAACTGGCCCAAATTTGACTCAAATGTTGTGTAAGTGAGCAAGTACTTTTCCTGAATTGGCTTTTAAAAAAACCTGAAAGTGCAGGCTTTTGAGTTATGCAGAAGTGCTCAAGGTTCAGTTTTTCAAAGCAAGGAAAGGTCTGGCAAGCAAGCATATCACACCCCACACAATGCCTATCTGGTACAGTTAAATGTGTAAGAATTCTTCATAAAGGGCCAATATGAAAAACTTACAATATACAAAAATACATTTATTAGAAATTACAAAAATAATATTTATTAGAAAAACAGTTAAGAACATCTAAGGGCCCAATGAAAACCTCGTTAAAAAGTATTCGTGGCCTAGACACAAGGGCCAATACACATGATGACCTGACCCGTTCTTGAGTCCAGTTTTTGGGTCAAGTTTGTTTTCCCCTTCCTGTGTCTTACAGTTAAATTCAGGGCTATTTTTGGGCAGGAAGGCACAGGAACGGAGTTCCGGCTGGCTTCAGAGTTGGCCACGCCCACTACAGCCACCATGCCTTCCCCAGCCTGTCCAAGGGCCGGCTTGCCCAGGCTCCCCACAGCCGCGGGGCGCCTGGGCAAGCCAAGGGAAGGCATGGTAAAGGTAAAGGTTCCCTTGCTCGAAAGCCAGTCGAATCCGACTCTAGGGTTGCGGTGCTCATCTCAAAGCCGAAGAGCCAGCGCTGTCCGAAGACGTTTCCGTGGTCATGTGGCTGGCATGACTAAACACCAACGCGCACGGAACGCTGTTCCCTTCCCACCGAAGGGGTACCTATCTATCTACTTGCAATTTCTTGCTTTCGAACTGCTAGGTTGGCAGGAGCTGGAACTAGAGATGGGAGCTCACTCCATCATGCGGCACATTCGGGTCTCGAACTGCTGAACTACCGACCTTCCACAGCCTGCAGTTCAGCGTCTTAACCACTTGAGCCACCGCAGCTCCATGGGGTGTGGCCTAATATGCTAATGCGCTGTGCTGTCTGGGTTGTGGCCTAATATGCTAATGAGTGTCTGCTGTTGGGTATGGCCTATTATGCTAATGAGTTCCTGCTGGGCTTTTTCTACAAAAAAAGCCCTGTAATATGTATCCAAGAATGTTGGCGGGGTTGTGATCCAGCAGTCCTGACCCACCTAAGTGGATCCACCTAAGTGGATCAGGGCCTGGACGGTGCCTCTGTGGGAGACCTCTTGGAGATCTCATGTGAATGGCCTAGAGTTCCCCAATGGGGGCACTCTGGAATATCAACACAGCCTGTGTCTAGTCCAGCAGAAGTAGAAGAGGAAGAAGAAGGAGATTGGGTTTATACCCCGCCCTTCACTCGGGAGTCCCGGAGTGGCTTATAAACTCCTTTCCCTCCCCCTCCCCACAACAGAGACAGAGCAAGGCTCCCTCTACGTTGTGGACTCTTGTGAGCAAAAATTTTTCTACTTTGTGAGCTACTGGCATGAAAGCTGTGAGCGAGCGATTTGGCGGCTGCATCAATTAGGTCCCTCTGGACCAGCATTCTGTTTTCAGTTATGCTTTTGGGATTTTGGAGCTCCTGTAATGAAAGCGATAACATTCCCTAGTGTGATCTGGTACACAGAGGTATACTGCCTGTAGACATGGACGCTCCATCACAGCTAACAGCCTAATCTCCACGAACCGGTCTTGTTTGCTTGCAAAGCCTCCGAACGCTCACGAACATCGCTCACATCTTGTCACGGCGACTCTCTAAGACTTCTGCATCGTGTGAAGAAATACATCCAATCCGAAGTTGGCGCCCGTACCCACCCACCCACCGACCCCTGCAGCGCCAAGCGCCTTACCTCCGTGCCGTAGAAGCCCCTAAGCAGTCGCTTGTGCTCCCGGCTGCTGCTCTCTTGGAGCTCCCCCAGCTCGGCAAAGCCGTGCAGGTGGGCGCTGACGGTTCCGTCGTCCGCCCGGCCAAGGCCGGCGACCACAATCTCATAGTGCAGGTGGCAGTGATCGTCCAGGGACACCCAGGCGTGGCCAGCAGACCCGGCACGTACAGGAGGGGACACGAAGTGGCCAGCGAGGGGGATGGGCAGCTCTAGAGAACAAAAGGCAGGAGTTTAGTAGAAGAAGAAGAGGAGGAGGAGGAGGAGATTGGATTTATACCCCGCCCTTCACTCGGAGTCTCAGAGCAGCTTACAAACTCCTTTCCCTTCCCCTCCCCACAACAGACACCCCGTGAGGTAGGCAGGGCTGAGAGAGCTCTTTTCAGGACTGCTCCTGAGAGGACAGCTCTGAGAGAACTTGTGACTGACCCAAGGTCACCCAGGTGGCTTCACGTGGAGGCGTGGGGAATCAAACCTGGTTCTCCCAGATTAGAGTCCGCGCTCCTAACCACTACACCAAACTGAAGCCAACGTCATGGCACTTTTGAGGGCTATAAGAAGACGTCCCATAGGCCAGATGTGGAACCTGGGCCATAATTTGCCCACCTCTGATCAAGAACTGCTCTTGAGAGAACAGCTCTTGTTAGAACTAAGGTCACACCAGCAGCTGCAAGTGGAGGAGGGAGGAATCAAACCCAGTTCTCCCAGATTAGAGTCCGCACACTTAACCACGACACCAGACTGGCTCTCATGGACATGGGGCCAGCCTAAAGTCTGCATGCATGGCAGTTTGGCAAAGGGCTGGTCAGTTCCAGATCTGGGCATTTAGGAGGAGGAGAAGGAGACTGGATTTATATCCCACCCTTCACTACCTGAAGGAGTCTCAAAGTAGCTTACAATCTCCTTTCCCTTCCCCTCCCCACAACAGACACCCTGTGAGGTAGGCGGGGCTGGCGGGGCTGAGAGAGCTCTTTTCAGGACTGCTCCTGAGAGGACAGCTCTGAGAGAACTTGTGACTGACCCAAGGTCACCCAGGTGGCTTCACGTGGAGGCGTGGGGAATCAAACCCGGTTCTCCCGGATTAGAGCCCGCGCTCCTAACCACTACACCAAACTGAAGCCAACGTCATGGCACTTTTGAGGGCTATAAGAAGACGTCTCATAGGCCAGATGTGGAACCTGGGCCATAATTTGCCCACCTCTGATCTAGACCCAAAGAGGGCTCCCGTAACAGATGTAGGGAAGGTGCGTTCGGCTAAGCACTTGCTCCTGCAGTCCCGCAGCACCTTGACTGGGCACCCGTAAGTGTGCAATGAGGCAGAGGAGGAGGAGGCGGCTGCTGGAGACGATGGATGGGGAAGCCGCATTTCACATATTAATCGGAACTTCCTGAGCAACTGTTTGGAAGCGGTCTTCGGATCCGGCTCCCTCTGCCATCTCCCCCCCCCCCAAAAAAAGTGAGTTTTCAAAATTAGAACACTTAGAAATTGGTGTTGGAGTGAGCGACTCGGCGTGTCTGGAGAATTGGGGAGGGGGTGCTAAATCACTCTACGTGTGTGTAAGCGTTTTATATCCTTGAATGGGATGTTGCTCTCTTTGGGCGATTCTGCATCTAGCGTTCGCCCCGCGTTTTCTCAACTGGGAGGAGAAAGGTGCAGCTCAAAACCACATTCAAATACGGTACGGACTGCAAAGTCACCTCTGAATGGCCGTAAAAGGGCCATTAAATCTATGCAGAGGGTACCATAAGATCCGATGACCAAAGGAAGCCAAAGTGGCATGGAGTGCGGAGGCTACCATAAAACCCGATAATCATAGGAAGCGAAAGCGGCAGGCAATGCGGAGGGGAATTTTTCTGTTCCAAGTGGGTTTCGTAAAACAATGGAGGGAAACGCCAATGCAGAATCAGCCTCTGTCTTAACCTGGGAGCTGCCCTCTGACCAGCCCCATAGCGAGGGAATTTTTTGGGGGGGGGCCGCGGGGGGGGGGGGCACCAGTTAATTAAATGAAAGTACAGTGCAGGTGGTAAGTTGGAGCACTTTGGGGGCAGCCCGAGAGGGAGGGGGCCCAGAAGAAACACTAGGGGGCCAGGCCCCGTGGGCCCCATGTTAGCTACGGACCAGCCTCTGACCCCTCCCCTCTCTCTCTATGCTCTTTGTTCTGCCCCTTTTCTCACATGGCTCTTCACGGGGCCAGACATCTCTACAGGTCTCTCCTGTAGAGACAATGCCCTCATGCTTCCACATAATGACACTGGATTATTTGCCCTCTTGTGATAGGGAAAGCACCCTTTAGATCGGGCTTCTCTCTCTCCGTTCGGACTGTCACCTGAATATGAACTGGACCTGCTTGAACAAATGTTTTACTTTTTGCGACGTACTCCTGGGGAGATTTATTTTCCTGCACGTGATATCACGTTTCTATGACTGGGCAACCTCTGAGCAGTCCTGAGCCAGTTTGGTGTAGTGGTTGAGTGCGCGGACTCCAGTCTGGGAGAACTGGGTTTGATTCCCCCCACTCCGCCACTTGCAGTTGCTGGATGACCTTGGGCAAGCCATAGTTCTCTCAGAGCTGTTCTCTCAAGGGCAGTTCCGGAAAGAGCTCTCTCAGCCCCGCCTACCTCCCAGGGTGTCTGTTGTGGGGAGGCGAAGGGAAAGGAGTTTGTAAGCCGCTCTGAGACTCCTTTGGGTAGTGAAGGGCGGGGTATAAATCCAATCTCCTTCCTTCCTCCTTCTCCTTCTCTCAGCCCCACCTACCTCACAGGGTGTCTGTTGTGGGGAAGGGAAGGAGTTTGTAAGCTGCTCTGAGACTCCAAGTGAAGGGTGGGGTATAAATCTAATCTCTTCCTCCTCCTCAATTACAATCTGTTTCAGAGCAGTTCTCGAAAGAGCTCTCTCAGCGCCATCTGCCTCGCAGGGTGTCTGTTGTGGGGGAGGGGAAGGGAAAGGAGATTGTAAGCTGCTCTGAGACTCCTTTGGGTAGTGAAGGGCGCGGTATAAATCCAATCCCATCTGTCTATTCCTCTCTCTCTGTCTCTCTTGAGGGAAAACCCAGAGGTGACGTAACGTCGCTCTAGGAACTGCCCAGCTGTCTTGTCGTAAAATCATAGAGTTTCTGGCAATACCTAGAGCTACCTTCTATCACTTCTGGGTTCACATGCAGGGCTCCAAGTGACAGGACCCGGGGGCAGGGGATCCCCCACCCTGACTAGGGGGCTGGCAAACCTATTCCCACCTGCCAGTCCAGCTCCTAGCATGGCGCACCCCCGGTTACCTCGGTGTCGTGCCGGGAGTCCGCTGTACGGCAGGGCGTTGATCTGGCCCCGCAGCTCCCCCTCTTCGAAATCCCTGGTCGCCACGTTGAGGAAGAGCTCGTTCTGCAGCAGCATGTGGACCTCGCGCCCGCTCAACTCCTCCCAGATCCCGCTGGCCTGCAAACGTGAGAAAGGGGCACTTTGAACGAGGCGTGGGGAAACTCCCCCCGCCCCGCTGCCCCCCTGCGGGATCTGGCCAACGGCCCACTCTCGCTGGCTCCCTTCCCTCCTCCGAAGAAGTCGAGGCAGCCCGTTTGTGGTTTTGCTAAGTACAACCCTCGCAAGCAGTCTGTGGAATGGGTCAGGAAGGGCCAATCTGTTCTCCAGAGACAAGCGGCGGCTCCAGTAAGCCGACCCCTGTGATTAAAATCTGGGATTCGCTGCCAGAGGTCATAGTGATGGCCAGAGGCATAGGTGGCTTTAAAAGGGGATTAGACACATTCATAGAGGATAGGGCTATCAGAGACTACGAATCATGGTGACTAAAGGAAACCTCCTCGTTCAGAGGCAGTCAACCTCCGAATCCCAGAGCCCGGAGGCAACAGCAGGGGAAGGCCTTGGCCTCTGTGCCCTGTTGTTGGCCCTCCAGAAGAACTGGTCGGCCACTGTGTGAGACAGGAGGTTGGACTAGAGGGACCACTGGTCTGATCCAGCAGGGCTCTTCTGATGTTCTTGTGAAGGCCTTAACCTCTGTGCCCTGTTGTTGGCCCTCCAGAGGAAATGGCTGGCCACCGTGTGAGACAGGATGCTGGACAAGATGGAGTATTGGTCTGATCCAGCAGGGCTCTTCTGATGTTCTTATGAAGGCCTCGGCCTCTATGCCCTGTTGTCGGCCCTCCAGAGGAACTGGCTGGCCACTGTGTGAGACAGGTGCTGGACGAGATGGACTATTGGTCTGATGCAGCAGGGCTCTTCTGATGTTCTTATGAAGGCCTTGGCCTCTATGTCCTGTTGTTGGCCCTCCAGAGGAACTGGGTGGCCACTGTGTGAGATGGGATGCTGGACTAGATGGACTATTGGTCTGATCCAGCAGGGCCCTTCTGATGTCCTTATGAAGGCCTCGGCCTCTCTGACCTGTTGTTGGCCCTCCAGAGGAACTGGTTGGCCACTGTGTGAGACAGGATGCTGGACTAGAGAGACAACTGGACTGATCCAGCAGGGCCGTCCCTTGGTGGTCAGGCCGTAAACACGGAACCCCGCTTCACACCAACACGGAACCCTGCTTCACACTGACCTTTCTAGCCCCGTGTTGAGGCAGCAAGTCCCTAGCAGAAGACTTGCCTAGACAATGGAGACACTTTTAACTGGAGAAGACCGTTACTGAACCTTCTCCATCCATTTATCAATGGATATAATTTCTATCCTTGCGTTCCTTATATATGGACATTCGGGGATGGCACTGAATCGTCGGGGGACCAGCCTGGTTTTTACCAGTTTTGTTGTTGTTGTTGTTCAGTCGCACAGTCGAGTCCGACTCTTTGCGACCCCATGGACCAGATCACGCCAAGCCTTCCGGTCTTCTGCCATCCTCTGAAGTTGGCTCAATTTCATGTTCGTTGCATCGATGACGCTGTCTAACCTGCCGTCCCCGTCTTCCTTGACCTTCAATCTTTCCCAGCATCAGGGTCTTCTCCAGGGAGTGCTCCCTTCTCATTGGGTGGCCAAAGTATTTGAGCTTCAGTTTCATTATCTGGCCTTCCAGGGAACAGTCAGGGTGGATTTATTTTAGGAAACCAAGGGACTCTCAAGAGTCTTCTCCAGCACCATAGTTCAAAAGAATCTATTCTTCGGCGCTCGGCCTTCCTTATAGTCCAACTCTCACAGCCATACATGACTACTGGGAATACCATTGCTTTGACCATGCGGACTTTTGTTGGCAGGGTGATGTTTCTACTTTTTATCATGCTGTTTAGGTTCTCCATCGCTTTCCTCCCAAGGAGCAGGCGTCTTTTAATTTCATGGCTGCAGTCACCGTCTGCAGTGATCTGGGATCCCAGGTTTTATCAGTGAAGTGAGCCATTTAGCTCGGGCGAGATGCATGAAGCTGCCTTCGACTGACTATTAGTCAGAATTCTCAAATATCCTCTCATGATCAACCTTGCTCGGGGTCTTGCAAACGGAGGGGCTGTGCGGCTTCCTCGATCGAGCCATTCCATCTCCGGTTGGGCCTCCCTCTTTTCCTGCTGTCTCCGACTTTCCCTGGCATTAATCATCTTTTCCAGTGACTCTTGCCTTCTCATGACGAGACCAAAGCACGATAAGCCTCCGTTTTGTCATTTTAGCTTCTAGGAAGAGTTCGGGCCTGATCTGATCTAGAACCCACTTGTTTATTTATGGAACGGTTGTTCTAGACTGGCCAAGGAAAAACAGCCGATATTCACACGGACGGGTGTCAGCTATGCTGCCATGGGGGTTGGGGAGTTCATTCTGTGTCTTGTTCATTGCTATTGCATTCCTATCCCTGCTGCTATGCCTTTGCTGAAACGCTTATCTCTACAGATGTGCAGGAGGAGGTTGTATTGTCTGGAAGTCTCCCATGTACCGTGAGAGACTCCTGGTTCCCAGCTTTAGCCACCTAACGGGTTCCTAACTCATCCCACGCGCGGGAGGGGACCTAATTGGCCCACGCCATGGGGGCGGGCATACGAATACCCTATATCCTATTAGGCTCTACGGGTTGCCGCCATTCTTAACAGTGCCTGTGTTACTGCATCTATAGCTTTGCAATAAAAGTCTAACCGTTCCTGAATGCGTGTACTTCGTTGTTAGCTGTGGGTTCTGACAACGGGCTTGGCTGAACAGATCACGAATACCTTTTTATTATTTATTTATTTGCCTTTTGCCCCTGTTGGGAACCCAAAATGGCTTACATCGTTCTCCTGGCTTCTAATGTCCTGGCCCCACTGCTGGACCTCCGGATGGCACCTGGTCTTTTTGGCCACTGTGTAACACAGAGTGTTGGACTGGATGAGCCACTGGCCTGATCCAACATTGACTTCTCTTACGTTCTTATGTACTCCTCTCCTCCGTTTCATCTTCACAACAATCCTGTGAGGTAGGTCAGGCTGAGCGTGTGTGTGACTGGCCCAAGGTCACCCAGCAAGCTTCCCACAACGAGAGTGGGGATTCGAACCCGGATTTCCCAGATCCTAGTCTGAAGCTTTAACCACGACACCACACTGTCTCTCTACCACATCTGGCCCATCTACCCCTCGTCCCCTGTGGCACTCACCATCCCATCCCTGTAGCTGGGCGTCATGTCATACAAGATGTTGCGCTTGTTTCTCCTCCGCGGTTTGGTCTCCAGCGTGATGCCGGTCACCTTGCTTCCAGTGCCTGCCACCTGGACCTGCGGGAGAGGGGAGTGCACCCCTGAGCAAGGGTCTGTCGGAGGCACAACGACCAGGGACGTTACAGGAGTCATAAAGGTTCCCTAGATGGGTCAGATCGAGGCAGGGCTGGTGGAGGAATTGACGGGCAGAAGAGGAGAGCAGGGTGTGAATTAAGGGGAGAAACTGGAGGCCTTTGCACCCTGGAGGAACAGATCGGGAAAAGAAGAGAGCAGAGTATGAATTAAGGGGAGAAACTGGAGGCTTTTGCACCCTGGAGGAACAGATGGGGAGGAGAGCAGGGTGCGAATTAAGGGGAGAAACAGGAGGGCTTTGCACCCTGGAGGAACAGATGGGGAAAAGAGGAGAGCATGGTGTGAATTAAAGGGGAGAAACTGGAGGCCTTTGCACCCTGGAGGAACAGATGGGGAAAAGAGGAGAGCATGGTGTGAATTAAGGGGAGAAACTGGAGGCTTTTGCACCCTGGAGGAACAGATGGGGAAAAGAGGGGAGCATGGTGTGAATTAAAGGGGAGAAACTGGAGGCCTTTGCACCCTGGAGGAACAGATGGGGAAAAGAGGAGAGCATGGTGTGAATTAAGGGGAGAAACTGGAGGCCTTTGCACCCTGGAGGAACAGATGGGGAAAAGAGGAGAGCATGGTGTGAATTAAGGGGAGAAACTGGAGGCCTTTGCACCCTGGAGGAACAGATGGGGAAAAGAGGAGAGCAGGGTGTGAATTAAGGGGAGAAACTGGAGGCCTTTGCACCCTGGAGGAACAGATGGGGAAAAGAAGAGAGCAGGGTATGAATTAAGGGGAGAAACAGGAGGCCTCTGCACCCTGGAGGAACAGATGGGGAAAAGAAGAGAGCAGGGTATGAATTAAGGGGAGAAACAGAGGCATTTGCACCCTGGAGGAACAGATGGGGAGAAGAGGAGAGCGGGGTGTGAATTAAGGGGAGAAACTGGAGGCCTTTGCACCCTGGAGGAACAGATGGGGAAAAGAAGACAGCAGGGTATGAATTAAGGGGAGAAACAGGAGGCCTTTACACCCTGGAGGAACAGATGGGGAGAAGAGGAGAGCATGGTGTGAATTAAAGGGGAGAAACTGGAGGCCTTTGCACCATGGAGGAACAGATGGGGAAAAGAGGAGAGCATGGTGTGAATTAAGGGGAGAAACTGGAGGCCTTCGCACCCTAGAGGAACAGATGGGGAAAAGAGGAGAGCATGGTGTGAATTAAAGGGAAGAAGATGGAGGCCTTTGTACCCTAGAGGAACAGATGGGGAAAAGAGGAGAGCAATGTGTGAATTAAAGGGGAGAAACAGGAGGCCTTTGCACCCTGAAGGAATGGATGGGTAAGAGGACAGCGGGGTCTGAATTAAAAGGAGAAACAGGAGGCCTTTGCACCTTGGAAGAACAGATAGGGAGAAAAAGAGAGTGAGATGACAATTAAGAGGAGAAACAGGAGGACGTCGAACCCTGGAGGACCAGGTCAGAAAACATACAAAATGGTGGCACAGCTCTTAGGTGACCTGGCCCCCCTACGGATGCCCTGGCCTGCCAACTCCCTGCCCAGAACCAGAAGTTTCATTCCTACCTGGTACTCCAACGTCCCGTTTGCATGCAGCGTAAGCTTGGCAGAACCCACGGCCCCCGTGTGGGTGGGCATGAGGGCATCTCGTCCACACAGCACGCTCTGGATGGCTGGGGGGGGGGCAAGAGAAATGGGGGCGAGTTTAGTTGGAAACCTGATCTCTCCAGTCCCCCCCTTCACGAACTGGGATTCGGGGAGCTCCTCCCCGCCACTCACTGTCGCAGCTCGTCCTGGCAGTGACGTGACCGGCGACCTGGCGCCGGAATCGGCCCTCCACCTCCACGGCGATCTTCAGTTGCCCCTGGGCCAGCCACGCCATCTCTCGGCTCGACAGTCCCGTCAACACCTCGGCAAAGTCGGGGTCCTGGAGGTGACAGAAACTGAGAACGGGGCGTGGAGCGGCAGCGGCACTGCAGGCATTGGAAGAGGGGAGGCGGCGCTAAAGGCGGCGCTCAAAGGTGGCGGCTTACCTGCAAGGAGACGTTGGCGGAGACCTCCCTCAGGACCCTGTCCTGGTGCAGGATCTGGACCCTCAGGGGCAGCCCAGGGGATTCTGAGGAGGGAGAAAACAAAAAACGAGACACGTCACTCCTGCACTGTAGTGTTACCCACCACCAGGGGTCATTTCCTGCAGAAGCGCACAGGAGCGGAGCTCCCGCAGTAAAGAGCCCAGGGGGCGGGCACACGCAACAAGCCCCACCCCCTGCTCCCAGCAGCCCTCAGTCAGAGCAAGAAGCAGCCAGGTAAGCTGCAGAGCCCCCGGCCCCCCGGTCCAAAACAGTCCAGTGGCACCTTTAAGACCAAGTTTTATTCAGGCACAAGCTCTCCTTTCTCTGCGAGGACAGATCTGCACGTCCCCCCCCCCCCAGCTAGCAATCCAAAACAGTCCAGTGGAGCCTGAGCGGTGGGTGTTGCCTTCTGACACACTTCCGGTGATGTCAGGGGGTGTGGCATATGCAAATGAGTTATGCAAATGAGTTATGCTAATGAGCTCCTGCACCTCTTTTTCTACGAAATGACCCCTGCCCACCACCACCAGCGGAGCCCTTTCTCCTTGCTCCTTCCCAGAACTGGCTCATCCACAAGGGTCAGTGTGAGGGCTTTCCGCTCTGTGTCTGTGTGTTTTTTTGTGCTTGCCTGGAAGTCATGGTGGCTTCTGGCGACCCCTACTGGGGGCTTGGACGTTTTTCAGAAAGGTGGCTTTATTAGCCTGCCTCTGCATCCCACCACTGATACTTCTGGAGATCCACTTTGGTGTAGATAAGGGTGGAAACTAGTCAAAGGGTCAAAAATATTGATTTTACTGACTAAAATTTTTTTAAAAAAACCCTGACCAAATACTGACAAATTACTGAACAATTTAATGTCAGCGTATTGGTAAGTTAGGGGGCCGCAGCATCTCAGAGGTTAAGATGCTGAGCTGCAGGCTGGAAGGTCGGTAGTTCGGCAGTTTGAGACCCGAGTGCCGCATGATGGAGTGAGCTCCCGTCTCTGGTCCCAGCTCCTGCCAACCGAGCCGTTCGAAAGCAAGAAATTGCAAGTAGATAAATAGGTACCGCTTCGGTGGGAAGGGAACAGCGTTCCATGCGCCTCGACGTCTAGTCATGCCACATGACCACGGAGAAGTCTTTGGACAGCGCTGGCTCTTCAGCTTGGAAACAGAGAGGAGCACTGCCCCCTAGAGCCGGATTAGACTGGCTTTCGAGCAAGGGAAACCTTTACCTTAAGTGGTTAAGAGCGCGGACTCTTAATCTGGGAGAACCGGGCTTGATTCCCCACTACTCCACACGCAGCTGCTGGGTGAGCTTGGGCAAGCCACAGTTCTCTTGGAGCTGTTCTATCAAGAGCAGTTCTCTCAAGAGCTCTCTCAGCCCCGCCTACCTCACAGGGTGTCTGTTGGGGAGAGGGGAAGGGAAAGGAGATTGTAAGCCGCACTGAGACTCCTTTGGATAGTGAAGAGTGGGGTATAGATCCAATCTCCTCCTCCTCCTTCTTGGAGGTCGCCCTTCCAAGTACTTGCCAGAGTCGGCCCTGCTTAGCTTCCTAGAGCTGACGAGGTCGGGCTTGCCTGGGCTATCCAGGTCAGAGGAGTAGGAGGGATTCCCAGTGCGCCATAACACTACAGGATTCATAACCATCAAGTATGTTAATTCCTGAATAAAGCTTTTATCTACACTTTAATTTAGCTTGTGCCCCTCTGCTGCGTTCATCAGTCTCCGAACACAGATACCCGTCTCCAGGGGTCATTTCCTGCAGGAGCGCGCAGGAGCGGAGCTCCGGCAGTAAAGAGCCCAGGGGGCGGGCACACGCAACAAGCCCCACCCCCTGCTCCCAGCAGCCCTCAGTCAGAGCAAGAAGCAGCCAGGTAAGTTGCAGAGCCAACAGGTCCAAAACAGTCCAGTGGCACCTTTAAGACCAAGTTTTATTCAGGTACAAGCTCTCCCTCCTCTGCAAGGACAGATCTGGGTGTCCCCCCCCCCCAATAGCTAGCAATCCAAAACAGTCCAGTGGAGCCTGAGCGGTGGGCGTTGCCTTCTGACACCCTTCCGGTGATATCAGGGGGTGTGGCATATGCAAATGAGTTATGCTAATGAGCTATGCTCCTGCACCTTTTTTTCTACGACATGACCCCTGCCCGACTCACTCCTGTCCGCCGACTCCAACAGACCCTTGGTCACGAGGACAAAGTGCAGGTTGTTCTCCGTGTCGCTCAGGGTCAGCATGGCGATGCCCCCCATGCCGAGGTGGGTGGGGTCCACGGACGTCAGTATCGCGCTGAACGTTTCTGGGGTGGAGAGGAATGGTAACAGAGCATCATCAGCTTGGACCGGGAGCCAAGGGACGGCTGAGTTATTGTAGCCTAATGCTCTTCCGTATGGTTCTAGGCAGCTTGCCAATTTTTTTTTAGAAACAATCTCAGTTTTAAGCCAAAAATAAAACAACCAATTGTTTTAAAATGATTGAAAAAAGCAGGGCTCTTTTTGGGCAGGAACGCACAGCAACGGAGTTCCGGCTGGCTTCCGAGTTGGCCACGCCCAGCAGGAACTCATTAGCATAACAGGCCACACCCAACAGCAGGAACTCATTAGGATTGGCTACATTAGGGGTGTGTGGCCTAACATGCAAAGGAGTTCCTGCTACAAAAAAAGGCCCTGGGTTTTGACAACAAACAAGGTAAACAGAATAAGAAGCAAAAGGTGGGTGTGGCTGGATGACCACACTTCTGGTAACATGGGGGTGCGGCCTAATGTGCTAATGAGCTGTGCTGGCAGGGGTGTGGCCTAATATGCTAATAAGTTTCTGCTGTTGGGTGTGGCCTATTATTGGGTGCTGGGCTTTTTCTACAAAAAGAGCCCTGAAAAAAAGCATTTGCAGGAGAAATTCTTGTGGGGCTGTGCCTTTAAGAAGGCGGCGGAGCCCCCCAAAGCCCCACTGTAGCCTGCCGGGGACTGAACCGGGGACCTTCTGGATGCCGAGAAGATGCTTGACCACTGAGCCACCTGGCTTTCTCCCGCATCACCCACTGGATCCGCACCACTAATGGCCGGGTCCAAGGCATGCCCTCGGATCTGGCTGGCAATGACTCGGGATGAGGTTATGGGTGAATCTGGAAGTGCCAAAAGGCCTTGTTACCTGCAAGCAGGGCCCGGTGCTTCATGATTTTCCCTCGGATCTCGCCTGCAGGGTGGGACTTGGTGACCAGGGAGACGCGCAGCTGGTCCACCTTCAACAGCCGGACCGAGGACTTTTGCAGGTTCCGCCAGACGCCACAGATCTGTAGAGGGGCGGGAGGGAGTGGAGAGGGCCATGCTATCAGGCCATCCTGTACACTGATGCAAATCCACAGACTGGATGCAACTCAGTGTACTGTCGATTCGCGTGACGTGCACGCCACACATTTCAAGTGGGACGGTGCATGGGCTTAAGTGTGCCGTGGGACCACTCCGACAGGCGGAAGATACAGAGGTGCAACTGTGCCTCTTGCAGCATGTGTGCAAACTGGTTTCCCCACTCTGACATGGCTCCGGGTCCCACAGCTACAGTAACACGGGAATCCAGAAGCCATTCAGGGAAGGGTGAAGGAGACGGGCAACGCCGAGGTCCACTCACCATGCCGTCCTGGGGAGAGGCTCCCTTCTGCACAGGGTGTTCGAAGAGGACGGTGCCTTCGGCCTCTGTGAAACGGACTCGGCTCGGCTGGGCTAGCCTATGTGAGAAGAGGCAGAATTGGGCGAGTGGGTGGAGGAGGTATTGGCCCGGACCTGTGCCGCAGCGAACTCTAGCTTCCAGGGAAGCTTGGTAGGGGATGAGTGCAGAGACGGCTCCCTCTCCTCCACCACCTGTTGCCGCCACCGCTTCTTGATGCCCGGCATCACCCGCTCATCACCTGCCCTCCCCGGTCCTCCCAACTACCCCCCCCCGCCACTTAAAGGGGCAGAACAGCTATTGCTCCTTCTGTCGTGGTTTCCCACAAGTCTTAAAAGATAGCAAAAAGGAAACTTTAAAGACTTGCAGGGAACCAGGACACAGAGGCTGCCGGCTGCTCTGGATCCTGGGTTTGGGGTGGCACAATGGGTGAGGGAGTGGATCAGCAACAGAAGGCGGATAGGGCAAGGGTGGGGGCAAGGGGGTGAAGGGGCACAGGCGGCACCCCCCCTCCAACTGCTACCCGAGGACATCACTTCACTTTGCCTCTTCAGTGCCATATGAGTAAATAGCAGGCCCTTCCCGTAACGGAGCCAGAATGCTGCAGTGTCTTAGGAGACCTGAGTTCTAATCCTCCCTTGGTGCCTCTGTGCAGGCACAGTGTGGCACACAGTGTCCAATCAGCCTCCCGGAGTGGCCAGAACCCTAGTTTATTATTTAATTGACCCAACATGGCTTACAACATTCCTCCCCCCCACCCCTTCTCCGTTTTATCTACCGGTGAGGGAGTCTAGGCAGAGAGCAGGTGACGGGCCCAAGGTCACCCACCGAGCTCCCGTGGCAGAGTGCGGATTCGAACCTGGGCCTCCCAGATCCTAGTCTGAACTCCACACTGGGTCTTTCTGGAATTGGTTTAATTTTGGGACATTTGGAGCTGGAATCCAAAAAAGGATTTTGTAGGGCTATTGGAAACAGGACCCTGTCCTGGACGGGCCAAATCTCCTCAGATCTCCGGAGCTAAGCAGGGTCAGCCCTGGTCAGTATTTGGATGGGAGACCTCCAAGAGATACCAGGGGCGTGACGCGGAGGCAGGCCATGGCAAACCACTGAACCTCTCTTGCCTTGAAAATATCTCTTGCCTGTTGGTTTATTGCTCTTAGCGCTTTTATCGGTTTTATGAACCTTGTCTTGTAAGCTGCCCTGAGCCCACTCATGGGATAGGGCGGGGTACTAAATTAATTAATAGGAGCTGCGGTGGCTCAGTGGTTAAGATGCTGAACTGCAGGCTGGAAGGTCGGCAGTTCCGCAGTTCGAGAGCCGAGTGCCGCAAGACGGAGTGAGCTCCCGTCTCTGGTTCCAGCTCCTGCCACCCTAGCAGTTCGAAAGCAAGAAATTGCAAGTCGATAAATAGGTACCACTTCGGTGGGAAGGTTAACAGCGTTCCGTGCGCCTCGGTGTTTAGTCATGCCAGCCACATGACCACGGAAACGTCTTCGGACAGCGCTGGCTCTTCGGCTTTGAAACGGAGATGAGCACCACAACCCTAGAGTCGGATTCGACTGGCTTTCGAGCAAGGGAACCTTTACCTTTTTTACTAGGTACTACTGAAGAAGCTGCGGTGGCTCAGTGGTTAAGATGCTGAACTGCAGGCTGGAAGGTCGGCAGTTCCGCAGTTCGAGAGCCGAGTGCCGCAAGACGGAGTGAGCTCCCGTCTCTGGTTCCAGCTCATGCCGACCTAGCAGTTCGAAAGCAAGAAATTGCAAGTAGATGGGAAGGGAAGGGAAGGGAACAGCGTTCCGTGCGCCTTGGTGTTTAGTCATGCCAGCCACATGACCACGGTATTATTATTATTATTATTATTATTAATAATAATAATAATAATAATAATAATAATAATAATAAACAACCCCTCAGGGGATGCTATAAATCGGCTGTGACTTGATATGAGAAACTTGTACAACCTCTTCTGGCATGGAATCCTTTGGGTCCGCTGCCCATCTCTTTAGGACTACTTGGCATTATTTGACACCGATGGGATCCACTGAGCCAGGTGTAACGAGGGCGGGCTTAATCCAATCTACATTGTGACTTTGGCTGACCCTCACCAGACCTGCCAAACGAATCATTTTGTCTTTTGTTTCTCCCATAATGAAAACAAAACACCTTTCAAACTGGGGGAGGCTTCTGAATGGCCAAGCTGTGCCTCATGCGCGCACCCTCTCTTTTTATTAATGTGTTGTTGTTTTTTAAGTAAAAATTACGATTCGAAATTATACAACGCCTACGGAACAAAAATAGGCAGATGTCCCATCATCTTGTAAACAATACAATGAGAGAATCACGGGGGAAAAGACTATAAAAACTAACAAACACCATGATGAGTATTACGAATCTCCTTGATGGAAATGCAAAGATTTTATATCAGTTTTTGCACGTTAAATGCAAGACAAGAAGGGAAAGGTTTAGTGGAGAAGGAGAGAGGGGACGCCGGGGAGGCGCACATTAAATGCTATCTTCCTCATAGATGGAATTTCTACTCCTCCAGTCCTCGAGGGAAAAGCATTCTTCTATGAAAAAAAGTTCTTTTTGTAGCAGGAACTCCTTTGCATATTAGGCGACACAACCCTAATGTAGCCAATCCTCCAAGAGCTTACAGAGCTCTTCTTACAGGGGCTACTGTAAGCTCTTGGAGGATTGGCTACATTAGGGGTGTGTCGCCTAATAGGCAAAGGAGTTCCTGCTACAAAAAGAGCCCTGGAAGAATGCTTTTCCCTTGAGGACTGGAGAAATAGAATTTCCATCTATGAGGAAGCCTTTTTGTGAAATGCAAAATATGTGCAAGTTCCATTAGATGGTTTATTGGGTTTTATGATTATATCACAGTGGAAATATACATACTGGATACCTTTGAAGAACTACTGCAGAATACCTGGACACTTGGAATTTTCTGTATTGGTAGCTTTATCCCTTCAAGGAATGATGTCGAAAAGATTGACTGAGCACTTTATGGGACATGTCATCCTATTTATGTATCTGAAATTATTTATTGACATTTGGATGGATCTACTGCACCTTGTTTTTGTAAGGATTTACCATGTGAAAAACGGATCTTTGCATTTCCATCAAGGATATTCGTAACACTCATCACGGTGCTTGTTAGTTTTTATACCATCATCTCGTAAGGCATTCCCCCCGCTTTTATAATCTTGAAAAGCAGCTATAGACATCCTTCTCCATTTACTGCTTCCCAGAAGTCAACCAAAGGGTGCCAATTATGCCAAAATGTTTCCGGTCCCTGTCTTCCAACCTGTAATTTAATGATTTCGCTTAATTTAGATGGTTCTTGCCAACATACCAAAGGCACTCCTTTATCGTCAGAACTACCAGGTCGGGCCAACTCGTTGCAACTGTGGTTGGTAAACGTTACCATTATGGGAGCGTACAATTTGTAGCACTGTCTGATTAAACCACGCTGGGTGACTTCAAAGGGAAACTCTTGTTCTTCATTTTCAAGTCTTAACTGCTAGATGGCACCATTGACAGAGGGCGATTCTGCATTGGCTTTTCCCTCCGTTATTTTACCAAACCCACCTTGGAATAGAAATTCCTCTCTGCACTGCAGGCTTGTGAGACTGACAAGGTGCTGTTTGAATGTTTGAACATAGTGTAAACGTGCACTTTGATGTATTATTTTGGTGAACCTATGGGGGGGAGGCGTGGCTGTTTGCCCCAGAGCAAAATAAAGCGCGGTAGCCCGATCGCACGGTCCCCCGAGTCTCCGTGCTTAGGCTGTTAGCTGGCGATTACACGGCAATGGCGCGATCATACAAGCAGCACTGCTTTCAGTTTTGTGTTTGTGTGCATGCGCTTACGAAAAACATCTGGTTTGTAACGGGACGTGGATGGGCGCCAGATGCCACGGCATACGAGCGCTCCCGCGATCAGACGCCCGCCTGTGCCGTGTGTTTTCCGGATACTAGTGCGCTTTCCTTGGTACTTTTTAACTCCATATCTTTGGCGGGACGCCACGCGTTGTCCACGGGTGCGCTACGCTTCCCAGATGTCGCGGTGTGATCGCGCCCTGAAAACCTGCCCAACATTCGTGCCTTTTGCATGGCAAATTGCGTGCTACAAATTTGCGTGATTGCAGGAGTGCTAGTATCCCGTGGCATCTGGTGTCCGTCCAGGTCCCGTTGCAAACCGGATGTTTTTTGTAAGTGCATGTGCACAAACACGAAACTGAAAGCAGTGCTGCTCCGTGGAACTGCGCATGTACACAAATGCGAAACGCTTGTGTGATCACGCCGCTTCTTTGCCATGCTGCAGCATCGCCATGTGATCACCAGCTAACAGCTGAAGCACGGACACTCGGGGGACCGTGTGATCGGGCTACCACACTTTATTTTGCTCCAGGGCGAACAGCCACGCCTCCCCCCCACCACGTTATCTGGCCTGTGTGACCGGGGCCTAAGAACATTCAAATAACAAGAATTGCTCAAGAATTGGAACACTTTGGAGCTTTATCTGATGTTAAGTTATATATGGTCTACACTATTCTTTGGCCGAGCGCCGAAGAATAGATTCTTTTGAACTATGGTGCTGGAGAAGACTCTTGAGAGTCCCTTGGACTGCAAGGAGTTCAAATCAGTCAATCCTAAAAGAAATCGACCCTGACTGTTCCCTGGAAGGCCAGATAATGAAACTGAAGCTCAACTACTTTGGCCACCCAATGAGAAGGGAGCACTCACTGGAGAAGACCCAGATGCTGGGAAAGATTGGTCAAAGAAGACGGGGACGGCAAAGGATGAGATGGTTAGACAGTGTCATAGATGCAATGAACATGAAGTTGAGCAAACTTAAGAGGACGGCGGAAGACCGGAAGGCCTGGCGTGATCTGGTCCATGGGGTTGCGAAGAGTCGGACTCGACTGTTCGACTGAACAACAACAGCAACACTATTCTTCGGTTTCCTTAAACTGTTGTAAGCCACCTGGAAGTTAACAAGCCTAGGCCTTTTGCAGGTGATGCGGTGCTCTCAACAGCCTATTTTGCTACTTCCCTTCCTCAGGCTCCGGCAGCACGGTTCCGCTCGGCTTCGCCAGGGACAACAACCGCTTTTTGGATGCACAGAAAGACTTGGAAATTAGTCACCGCTTGGCTATGCAAAGGCCTGGCAAAAACAGGAGGGCTTGCGGGGGGGGGGGGAGAGCAGGCAGAAAGGGAGGCCCCTTGTGCAATCAGAAGGGGAGTTTGATTGACTGCCGCTACCCCCCCCCAGCCAAGTCCAAAGCTGAAGCAGCCCCATGGGGCTCCTGCAGCCCAGAGAGACAACTGGGGCCTGGGAACGCGTGGAGGCTGAAACTGTTTATTGGACCTCTCTCCGTTTTTCTCCCAAATTAGGGCTTTTTTGGTAATTTAAAAAAAGAAAACACAAAAGCACGACTGGAGTTGCTTCTCTGCTTGGGATGGATGGGATGGGATCCCAAACTGGGTTGCCAGCCTCCAGGTGGGGACTGGAGATATCCTGGGAGTACAATGGATCTCCAGGCCACAGTTCCCCTGGAGAAAACGGCTGCTTTGGAAAGCAGACTCTATGGCACTATTCAACGTATCTCCCTGCAGATTTAAACTGCAGGCTTCTATGCCACACATAAACCTCTGTAATATCAAGTCAACCCCCAGAGGGAGCAAAACTCATGCAGAAGAATAGACATCCCCCCCACCCCCCAAAGAAATGGGAACTTCCAGAGATTAAAATGAGAATGAGGAAGAGCCGGAGGAGGAGGAGGAGGAGGAGGGAGAGACTTGCCATCTTCATCCTGTTGTTTTGCCAACATGCACACAAATGTAAAATGAAAACCACACTCCGAGAGTGTTTTTGATTACCGCCAAACAAAAATAACTCAGCACAGCACCCAAAAATAAAACGCATGGAGACTGTCTGCTGGTTATAACTCTATAACCTTTCACCAGTCTGTCAAGAACACTGCAGAATGCAGACTCTTAGTCTTAGACTAAAGCTGGCTAACTGGTGGTTTGCAAACTGGCTAACTAGGGTGCTATCAACTTGCAACCGAGTCATGGAGACCCCAGGAGGACCATGGGGCATTCAAGGTGAGGCAAGAGGCTAACAGAGATGGTTTGCAATTGCCTTCCTTTGCTTAGCGTCCCCAGCCTTCCTTGGTGGTCTCCCTTCCATGAACTAATGCTTAGCTCCCAGGCTCTGGCAAGATTGAGCTAGTCAGCAGGGTGATAGCCAGTGTGGTATAACGGTTAAGGGTGGTGGACTCTAATCTGGAGAACCGGGTTTGATCCCCCACTCCTCCTCCTCCTCCACAGGAAGCCTGCTGGGTGACCTTGAGCCAGTCACAGTTC